TATTTAACTAAATTTAAAACATTGAACAACTTTTTGCTATAAGGCTATTTTTAGAATAGTATGACATATAAATTTTTCAATCACTAATTCGACTTTGTTTATACTCGTGTATCATGCATAAAACGCAGATTCATGAGAACCTAGTTCGTTCTCCACATAACGATCAATCAAAGTCACAAAAGAAGAATGATAATCATTCATAAAGAAAACATGGTTTTGTGTGTATAAGAGTTGAAAATTGCAATTCATGTTTTTACTCTCATAGTGTTTAGTAATGGAAGACTTTCGTCTATCATCTGACACTGAATAGGTTCGTGGGGTGTATTATAAATGACTGCTACATTCTGAAATTAGATTGTAAGATTCTGTATTTAGTCTCAATATAATTTTACTATTTGGGTTGAATCAGGTGGCTTATAATATGTTTGTTTATATTAATGTGAGTTTATACTATAGGAGTGACATTTTGACTCAGTATTAATTGCACTTGAAAATGATTGGGTAAACCTTTTTCTTAACGTTTGGTGTTTGGTGACCCGTTGATTATTTCAAATATGATACTAACTTGAGATGGCACTTATGATATTCGTTAAAACAAGCATGCTCCAGATATCTAACATAATTCATAAGCGTTTCTGTTCTTGGAAACTCACTACTTGTAAAAATAATTATACAATATAGTAAATATTCAAAACGTAGTAGCAAAATTCCACGTTCCGCTACCAAAATATTAATACGACATCGTGCAATGTATGTATGTATGGAAGAAATAAAATATCACAATCCAATATATCAAATTTTAGTCTCTTCAGTCGCCTGGTATATTTAGAACAGCATAGCGTGCGAGACAATTTAATACCATTGATATAAGTTCATGTCATTTTCGTTATTATTAATGCCATGATTATGACTATAGAACTGTGATTCTACCGTATATATTAATTTATAAAATAAAGAAATATGGATTATGCCCTGACTTTTATCATAATAAAGAATGATTAAACAGTCTGAAGATGGCTGATATACTGTACATCATAGCTAAGTTTTAATAATTTCCTGCTATAATGTTTGGGTTCTTGTAACAAAGTTCGTTTAAATCATTTATATTCAGACTAATTTATTTACTGGAAAGATTGACCCTAATTCACCTTTTATCTATTGCTTCAAAGTTTTTTTTAATGGCTGGAAACAAACTTAATAAGTTTACTGTCAAATATCGTAATCTAAAATAAACCCAGAACAAAATTTAATGTGTAACTATAAAGGGGTTTCCTTCAGAACACTGAACAAATTGATATTTGGTAACCAATAAAATTATCACATTAATATTCGAACTATGTATCTTGTTTTATTATTAACACCCGTACGTGTATATTAATTTTCCCCGCACATGTCGCTATCTTTATAGAATAACAACTATATATAACTGGAGAGAGAAATAAACTCAATCTAATTTTCTATAATTTAGGGAACAACTGTTCACACATGAACACTTACTAGTGTCATTATGATATCATTATACAGTTCCCTCATGATTTCATCACTTTATGATTATACTGACATTTGGCATCCGTACATTATTTATTCACGCTGACATTTGCAGCGATGCGATAAACATGGAATTACAACATGGACATGGGTTTCTCATCCTACAAAACTATGCTTTTAAGGCCTCGAAAAAAAAAGAAATCGCCCTTAGACTTTGGCAGTTAATAGTACAGTAGTAGTCAATTTAAAAATCCTAATACAATTGTTCTTTTCAAACTTTTAAAACTAATTTTTAAGACCTTTAATAAAGTTATATTTATACAATGATATTTGTTTATGATCGTACATGATACGTCTGTCCTTCATACAAGTTTGTTTTTACAGTAATAGTCAATTTTTGCTTGTTTTCACAGCTGTATGCTAGTAACTTGAAATATAATGTTTTAAGTTTACAAAATATATAGTTATATAATATAATACATGTATTCAGACAAAACTACATCAATGTTATAATACGTTTCTTTCTAAGCAAAAATTTTTAATTTGTAAAGTTAGAATAATAGGCGTACAAGACAATGACAAGACTGGATCTGTTAACATATTCAAAAAGAAGTTATTTAAATACCGTAATCCTTATACAATGTATATACCTTTCCACGATAATAAAGTAAAATAATAATTGTAAAATGTTTATTCAATGAATGATACTGTAACAGTAATGTGTATTGACCCCCAAAATCCCAGATGATATTTTAAGCAAACTCTGAAATTACTAAGTTGACGTTCTTACATACGGAATAGAAATATGGAAAACTGATTTTTATCTGCAATATTTTGAAGATAGGTCAATAATGCTTGGCCATGAAGGAACCATAAACTCTTTGAGTAGATATTTGTGCATTATCTGAGAGATGTTTTAACAATTATGGAAATCCATTAGGCCGATAGATACGAAGGAGATCTTTTCATTCATTTGTTTTGTCTACTTTGCAATTTATTTATTAAGAAATGTCTCTATGCTTTCTATTTCGTTTCAATAAAATAGCCTCATAAATTCACGGCGGCACGAGGATTTATGAGATTTACTCGTGCATTAGTTCGACCAGACTAAGTCTCTTAAAAACGTGCATGTACCACATGAGTGACATTTAATGTAAAGATTTTAGGTACAGTCAAACGTGTGAATCCTGATTCATATACAAACCTGTTCCTTTTAACTGTATTTTTTATTTATTTTTTATTATTATCTTTATTTTTTTAAATATATGTGTTTTTGTTTTTTTTAAGTATTAATTTTACCCTTCATTGTCAATAATTCTTTAATCATTATTCTAATATTCATGTAACTTTTTGATACACGTATACCATTCGAATAAATACAGAATACTGTCTTAAATACAGTGTATATTTTCTAAAAAATGATAATAATGAATTATAATACTGCAGATACAATTATGTTACACTATACATTGTAATTAATGTAATGCATCTGTAAAATGAAACATATGGGCAGTGTCTTTGATACTTTATATCTCTACAGTAATTTAGAAATAATTGTGATTAAACCTTACGCCATTTATACCATTTACGTCCTATAGAATAAATTTATATGTAAATAATTGCGCATCAGTCCTTTGCTGTATGCATATAAGTTTACAATCATGTCAAAAATTTAGTGTTAATTTGTAAATTTCCGCGATGTAAATTGTTAGCGCACGCGTGTCCGGTTTGATGCCTGGCCAGTTATATTGACTAGTAAATAATGGGAAATTGTCGGACAACACTTTATAATTGCATATATTGAAAAACACTTTTAAATTGGCTTAAAGCTTTTAAACATAGATTTGATGATATAAATGTTTCGAGTTTAAACAACTTCGAAAATTAAAAAGTAAATATCATGAAAGAAGGACAGCTTATTTTTAATGTTATTTCATCCGATAGTAATAAAGGCTTTAACAAATATTTGGGCAACATGAATAGCGACATTTGTATAGTTATATCAAAGGACTTAAACATCATTGTTTTTTCCTTTTATCCAACATTTTCACATTACACCGAGTACTGAGCCATAAATAGGGTACACATTTAAAAATGATTATTTCGTATAACAGCAATGGTCAGTTTATTCAAGATTAATCATTTTTAACAATAAAGAACTAATTTTTCTAATACAGTCGAGATACTGGATGGAATAAAACAACTTTGTAATAATAATTTATAACAATATATTCATTAAAGACTTAGTAACGATAAGAATAATAAACAATATCATTTATAATACCAAGTACAATTAAAAATATATATGATTAATCATGGTGTAACGTACATGTATTATCTCAGTTAACATATAATATGAAACAAAGTTTTTTACTCTTGTTGATAATTTTAACATGATACCTGCGTACATTTAACATGTTCTCTTGAAATGAAATCATATCTACATTCGGATTCTTCAGATTATTATCGTATCCAGATTAAAAGATAGGTAAATTTTAACGATAGTAAAAAGATTCCTGGTGGAATTTGATAACGGTTTAGCAAGATAAGAGGCACCAAGTATATCTGACTGTTTAATTTCAGTTTTATTACTGGTATCTTCATTTTGGCGTATCATCATAAACTGAAGATTTTGTTGATAGAATCAAAAATATGTTCACTAAAATAAATTATAAACTTTATTAGTTTTGAAATAGATGAAACGGTAATATAATTTTAGAGCGTTGAAAATATCAAAACATTTTTAATTTATGGAAATTTTTCTGCATGTTTTTATATTTTAATTTCACATTAATAAATGGTTAAAAACAGATTGGTATCGTTACAAAAATATTAATTCGTGTTCACGTTTAACTAGATATGTATTAACCTATTTTGTTAAAATTCCCATTTTTCTTTAGGTGTTTATCGATGAAATGAATACATCAATAACTAAAATAAGAATAAAACGCAAGAAATAAATTTTCATTTACTCTTTTTTTCCTTATTTTTTCCTTTTTTTTAATTCTTTTTTTTCATTTTGCTCCACTTCATAAATTCCCCGTTATAAATAATAATGTTTAAATGACAAATTGCAGCAAAAACTTATTAAATAAAAACTTGCTCACTGAATCATGGTTTGCTAACATTCACGACACCTTTGTAACTCTGAAAATATTCTTTAAAAATGTGATACCTAAACTTGACCATCTGACCGTATAAATAAATATAGTTGACGAATGAAAATAACATGTGTCTTTGTGTACACTACCTTAATATAGATATATAATAATGGATTATTTAATTTTTTAAAAATTAAGTAAACAATAACCTGTTGCGATTAAATTTGAAATAAAAATAACATAACGATAAAATTTACGTTATATTTATAATACTGTATATTGAAAACCGTTATGAAAAAAGAAATACATTAATTGCTGAGGAAAATAGGACACATTTTATTGTGACTATTTAAAACATTGTATGGGTCACAAGAATTAGCAATAAATAATCGGAATGTTGTTGCCACTTACCTTGAACAAATAACATTGCGAGACTTGTCTTCATTTTTCGACAACGTTTTTCGCCTTGAAGTTTTACTGTCGTGGGAATTATAAAACAGCTGCCGTAAAAACTTCTCTGAAGACCTAAACAAGACGATAATTGCGTTTCAATAAATTTTATAGCCCTTACTTTCGAGCGTTCCTGTCACTAATTAGGTTGAATTTCCCTCATATTATAACTAATTACCAAGCTACACTAAAATGTATTAAGTGCCCAAGTTTCCTCTGCCTCTAGTTTCCTGCTTGGAATAAATTTGTTATATTCCGGTTCACTTTTACACTATACTAAATGTGCACTGAACAGAATACAAATTAAACGACAAACCGTGTGGTCTGAATGACAAAACTACGAAAGATAAAATCCAATTTGTTTGTATATACACATATATATAAAATATGAAGAAGAAGAACAAAAAACAAAATTTAACTCTCGTAATATTCACACAACATTATCCAAACATATGACAAAAGGTTAAACACTTTCCATCACCTCATTAACAATGGAATAAAAGAAAGGCGTATATTGCGCTCTGGGCGTACAGGCCTGATAATTTAAGAATGGTTCGTACAAACCACTGCTCCTGTAATAACTAGCTATCGGAGAACTCTCAGTAACTCGCTATTTGATAACCCCACTGGCGAGTCATCACTCGTGGATCGTTATGTTATTCGTCTTTCTTTGATTTTTGTCCAGTCTCATCCTTCATTCTGACTAACCCGGTCTCTTATTGTGAGTTTATCTTCATGTCACTTTTAACATTATTATCTTTTTTCGGACACTTTGCTCGTTGTTCAACCGTCGCGGTGATTTACAGTTTCCGATGATATATTTTAAATATTTTTAGTTGTATTAGACCACATCGTTGTTTTGTTTTAATTGATTTTCAGTTCAGAATATTACAAATATATTATAAAGGTTTTTATATAATTATGCAAATTGAAATGATATAATAGTTGTTCTTCATATATTATGTAATATAATCACATTTGGAAGACTGGTTTCAATTCGCGGTCAAATCTGATATATTTGTTTATACACGAAAGGGTTTTTAAATTTGCTTTCTGACTAGAAAGTTTAGTTTCTTCGACATAATCATTACTGTTATTGTTGTTGTCATTGTTGGCGTCATCACTTTTGTTATACATTATTCATCTAATACATTTATATATGTATATATCCAGAGATAAGTATAACGGCTATAAATTTGTAAGTTTTAGATCATACATTGGTCCTTCAAGTTTCAAGTTTTACTTACATATTCTCTTTTTGCATACATACAAATACAAGAGATAATACATGTCAATTACATTACATACAATAAGCCACGTGCATAGCATAATTGTATCACATTTGAAGCATTGGATTCGATTCGTTCAAATGTATATTCTAAAAGTAGCATTTGTATTTAATTTATTTGTATGATTTCAATGGTTTGTGTTTTATTACTACATGTATTGGAATATTTTTTTGTTTATCGAAGTGTCGAGAAAAAAGACATTTCAAATTCATATAGCTTAGATTAGTATATGTTCTACATAGATAAGTATATTTAAGAAACTTTTATTCATGTTTTATAATATACATTTATCTTACCTTTATGGATACTCTATAATAGATGCTGACACTGTCTCTCTCGACATTGCAAGTATTATTTATCATAAATTATTTGTTACTATTATATAATTATTTGAATCTAGAATCTCTAAAATAAATTAAATAGTTAATGAATGATAACTATCAAATCATAAAAGAAAAGCAATACTTGCAGTCACGTCATCTTGCTATGTAATGAGAAATTTACTTATGCATACATGTAATTGCATGTACATATATCATGAAAGCTTTGGAGTTAATTTGTAAATAAAAGATACTTCTTATTATTCTTTATCATCATCTTTGTTGTGCATTTTAAGGTTTAAAAAAAAACTTCAAATGTTTTATATAAGAGTGGTTATTGCATTGTTGTTGGGTTGGGTTTTTATTTTAATTTCATTTTTCAAGAAAGAGGTGCATTATTTCTGTAGTATATACCATTGCATGTGAACAAAGGGAAGAAACTGCAATAAATGTTTTTGTCTATTTCAGCATAAAACATACAATGCTCTGTTAAATTTAGTATACAGTGGTTTTCAGACGTGTAAAACGAGATTTACAAAATTATTTTCTTCTATTCTATTATGTTTCCTATAATGTTAATTAATAATACAATATCGTCCTCGTATACGAATGAGTTTTTTCCATGTAAGAATTTCTACATTTTATACAGTTGTAGACAAAGGGAAATCACCCTAACATTTCATTGTTACTTGCAAACAACTGGTAAAATGTTAAACAATTTTTTCAATTGACCAGTACTTATTTCTAGTTATTGGAAAAATGTTGATAAAATTTGGCCACTTTTTAGAAATTTGTATTTTATAGAAATGTTATAAATCTATTCTGATGTCAGGAGCTACTGAAAAAAGATGTAAAAAATAACAACTAAAATGTATAGTTTACTGTGTTTTATGTTGTTATTGTTTCTTTTCAACCGTATTGTATATCTGGAAGTTTGTCCTGAATAATACAAAATAGTTTAACACTGTTCATCTAAACTATCCATTGATTAACTCAAGTCAAGTAATATTATTCTAAAAAGTCGGATTAATAACATAATAATTATTATATATGTACAATGTAACACAAGCTCTGAAGAGCCTTTAAGGACTACTTTTAAAACATAGCATGTTACGATAACTTAATTAAGTTTATGAGAAATATGGGTAATGACGTATATAGACATGAAAGAACACAAACTCCTCACAGTGATTACCTCCCTTGGCAGAATTGTAATCACTGCCTTCACAGACGTCACATGCTGATGAAAGTCACATGACGTAACGTCGAATTCAAATGTAAATAGAAAATCTAACGTCATTTTTCTCTTTCTGTTTTATTCTTAACTTTTCGCACCTACGTCCGCTATATTTTATCAAAAAAATATTAAAAGTATACAAAATAATGAAAAATAAATTAAAAAGCTAAAAAATATAAAATATCAAAATATTGATATTTAAATGTTTGTGGTGACAGAGATCTCTGTACTGATAAGGGGAGATCACTGCGTAGGAGATTGGAAAGAACATAAAAACAACAAAGCTTTAATACAATAACTTGTTCAATCATAGTTTTTTCTTTTAATGGTTTACCAATTTTACTAGGCTTAGTAATAAAAGCTTTTAACTCCTTGACTGATAAGTATTTAAATATTTCTATTGTTTAAGTGCTCATGCAATACCAAGATATATACAACATAAGATGAATTTCCGTTATTATAAAACATCTATTTGCTGATAATACATTACTTACATTTGACAGTCTGATATTTTGAAAGTTGTATGTAGCGAATATTCATTTATATAGCATGCAATTATATCTAATTCTACAAATTGTATTTTGTTTATTTTATGTTCTTGAAATTGAAATGGATAATAATTCATTGTAACAAGTTTCGTTTTCTCGTAAATCTTGTAAATTTGTTGAAATTGCAAAAGAACGGAAGAAGACTAAAGCTTGCAAAAAAAGAGAAAGTTTTTGTTATTATTAATAAGGCATAAAAACATATAACAACAGAGCATGAATATAGCAAAAGCTTGTTAACTAAACAGCAAATTAGGTAGTAAAATGTAAAAGCCTACTCTCCAATCAGTCCGTGCAGGCTTACTATCTGGCACAAACAAAACAATTACATTAGAGTTCATTCCAACAGTACATGTCGATCAGAGACTTAAAGTTAAGCGGAATACAAGATGAGCGAAATCTGTATGTGGCTGATAACAAGTTCTACAGCCTGGTCGCCAAGTAGTAAACATATATTGTTTGCCATAAAGTACAGTTCTATGTTCTTGAATCGCTGCAAGTAATACCTTACTTATATTTTTAAGCTTTTACATAAGTATCAGTTATCGAATACGACTGATTGTGTATACTATGTATGTATTGACGACTTCATAGACGTGGAAATAAACTTCATGTTCTATTATACATAAAATGTATTTCATCTAATCATTCATGTGTGTATTACTATGGCAAGAGCCTAGTTTGTACTGCGTGTCTTTTGTCTTTTTTTAAGTTTTAAAAAGATAATGTTTTATATAAGCGTTTATCTAAATAAATAAAGATAACAATTAGCATTTATTTTACTTACCTTGTAATAATTTTGTGACGTTTCAGTTTGCAATATCTTTTCAAATACTGAACACTAGCTGCTCCAAGACTTAGCATTTTACCAGATATACCAAAAAACATCATACATGCTCGGATGTAATTACAGTGAATATACAGTTTTCTTAAATGCGAGGAAACTCGAGAACTAAATAGTATTGTATGTATATGCATGAAGGTTGCAAAGACATTTAAATATATTTTTTTCACACAACATTATATCCCGAGTAAATTTTACAAAGAAAATTATAAAATAGGATCTACTATCATAACAATTTGTAGTATCAAACATAGTACATTATTTAAAGTACCATGTTCTTCTGGAAATATTGTCCCACATAACAAATTTGGATCGGATTCCAGGGTAAAATTTATCTGGAGATTAATAACGCCCAATTACCCGAATAGTTCTGATCGATTTTCTAATAACATAGTAAACAATAGTTCAGAGTATCTGATACAATATGAGAACCGAGTTGTCAATTTTTGCTCGGAGTAAATAAATACTTGTCAATGTAACAAATAATTATCATGATTTATAGGTTTTTTTTATATAAATGATATAGTACTATAAAGAAAGAAAAATATAATGTTCATCAAAGTGTAAGTTTTGAGTGAACAGGTATAAATAAAGAATAACTTAACATTTTGCCATAATTGTGTTCAATTTTATATTTTGAAAGTTTCAGTAACGCATAATTCTTAAAAAAAGAGTGGGCGTTATTTTTATGACTAATGTAGTTTTTTTGTAATACTGTATACCAAAAGCATTTTCCATGTCAATTATAGATCAGTCACCATTATAATAGCCAAACTTTTTAAACAAATTTCTAATTCTATTCAACTTGACAATAATGTCGCTTTAATATCTAACACAATGAAAACCTATTACATGTATATATATGTGTGTACATTTTGTATATTTACAAATGTCACGAGACTCACAAGAGTCTCTTTAAGGGAAAAAAATAATTTACAAAGAAATATTGATTGTGTAATTGTGAAGTATTTGGAGTTATAACATAGTTTGATAAAACAGTGTCTTAGCTTCCGTTAAAATGAAGTTTATCAAACTTTAAAGCCGGATAAATCTTTAGTAGGCGGTTATTCATGTAAAACATACCGTGCACAATATGAAAAAGAAGATCGTAAATACCATGTGTTTTAGAAAGCTTTGTCAATTATTTAGAGAAAACTTTATCAAAGTTTTTTTTTATAAGAAGTATGCATTGAAGTTAAAAATAAGTACTTGACAAAGATGATTTTATATTTTCCTTGTTATTTGATTCTTTTTTGTGTAAATTGTCCTGTATGTGGCAAATGATATATCAGTTTTAAAATATTTTTCACTTAAATCCTGGCAACATTGAATATGAATATTTGACTGAAAGAAAAATCTAAATTGAAATACCAGAAACATTGAACTGTCCAGATGGATAATCTTTTCATAGTCGTTTAGGGGACGCTGTAACATTTTCAGTAGATTTTAGAGATATAGTCATGCTCATTTCTGCACATGTTTCAGAAATAATAATAGAGGAGATGCCGATAATATCAAAAATGTTTTGTTTCACATGATTGTCCTATTAAAAAAAATTGTTTGATAGTGCTTCTCAATCAATAGTTTTACTGAAACCATTTTGATATCAAACCAAACAATACCCAAAACGATTAAAAATGTTCTAATGTCACCGTTAAGAAGAAAATATTCCACTCGGAACTTTTTTATAATGTACTATGTGGAAATTGTTTTGCTGTTCAATTGCGATATATTCTATGCTGCGCCAAATTGAAGAGACAAGCGAAAAATGAAAAGATAAATAAATGTAACTTTTTTTTAAAAGTATACGAGTATTTGATGGAAGATAATATTGTGTTGTTAGTTGTGGTCCCTTCTCTGTCTGTTTTTGGATTGGTTGGTTGGTAGGTTGCTGGGTGTGTGGGTTTCTTGGATGATTTGATGATAAACGATTGGTTAAGTCAGATACATTGTATATACCATTTCACCGTAGTTATTAACATGGTCAAGTTTGGCGAAATCGAATCAGTAATGTACAAAGTATTGTTTCTGGTTAAAATATCCTTGCTTGGAGCATGATCCTTAAAATTCGTGCTGCTTTGAACTTATAAAACGTCCTTCAATGGTTTATATGATTTCAAAAACAAAATACTAAACGGAGCAACAAAAAGAATAGAGCCTGTTCAAACTGCACCTGGCTCTGGACCTGTCTTTTAAATTAACTTAAGAAGCCAAATGGATAAGTAGCTTATAATCAAATGAATTGCATACGGGCGGCGAAATGTAGTTTATACATGCTTTTCCTTATTTGTCTCTCGGTGGTAAAATGAGGTCAACCATATTGTACATTCACTAAAATATGAAGGCTAAATAGTATCACATTAGCGTTTAGTTTGATAAACAAGAGTGCTTATGACGGTTTTAATGATGTTTTTCAGAAGTTAGGTCCGGTGAGAAACATCAGCAAATGGAGAACATTCCATATTCTGTCTGATGAATTCCTGAATATTCACTTGGAAATGTCAGGCAATTTGTCCAAACTACAGCGCATAAAGTCGTCCCCGTAAAATGTGGCTTTCATGACGTTTTCATGGGGAAAATCCATTAACTTGTCAAGAGGATCGTCCAATTAAAATTCCCGCTTTTAATGTCTTTAAGTAAATAGAAGATAAAATTTGCACATTGTAGAGGAATGGTGAGAGTTTTGAAGGAACCAGTACGCAGATGCGAGAACTGAAATTGCCTGATTATGGAAATATAATCCCGATTCGCGAGGAAATATTCTGAACAATTGTAAATTAGACACGAATACAATGAAATTTCTCTCTTTCAAAGTTGTCTAGAATTCTACGTGGGGAATTTTAACAACATATTTATATCAAACGTGTATAATATAAAAGTATATTGCGGCAGTGGAAAATATCGTTTCAACAATAAATCGGAAAACTGTATTTCAATGTAAACATGATACACTGTTGACAAAACAATAGTTATGATATTATTGGGTCATATATTCTATAAAATGTAGTTTAAGTGTATATTATACTGTAAGCATAAACTCGTGCGAAGCGATATATGTTTATCACAGTAGGCGTTCGCTAAAGCTAACTGCATTTCAAATGTCGTGTTCTTGAAATAATATAGCATAACTTATTAAGAATAGTATAACATATAATTACTTGTATGTATTAAACAAAAGTATGACATAGTTACTCGTAAAATCCCATTTCTAAAGCGTAAATAGATAATTACTTTACTAATTATTTTACACATGCGACTTGCGTATGGTATGCACTGTTCGTTATTCAGTCAATACATACTCTTGAGACAAAAAATCCCTAAAAGGGGTGTTGAAAGAACGACATGCCCATTTAAGATATAAAGCGTGGCCTAAGTAAATCATATTGAATTCAACAATTATTTAAGCGTCAGAGAGTAAACTAAGAATAAATAACAAGTACTGGTCTTATAACCACATATCTAAACAATAAGATAACGTGACACCCCAAAAATTGATTGCCCCTAAAAACTATGAAAACTGTCTTGACAATCTGAATAGCTATTCAATTAAAATGACAATCTTACTTAAATTAAGAAATTGTCCCGTAGCAAGCTGTAAAAATAAGTGAAGGACGGAAGGATATCAAGTTATTACGTGTTACTTTCACCTTGAATTACATGGCAAAGCGATCAGCTAATTTTAATAATAACACAGCACGTAAATTCCAGGTATAACAAGTTCCATAAATTGTGTTCACGTGAAACCACAGTAAACTCTACAGTGGTACATCTTCATTTGCAGACTGGCCTGGCTCTATACGGGTGGCAAAGGTTAAAAACTTTCGGTTCCAGCAGTGTAAGGGCCAATAAAGTTCACAAGTAATGCAAGCTTCCAAGGACCAGTAATTGATTTAATTTGATATATCGATATAATTCAAAGAATTTATTTGCTATATGACCGATATAGAAGTTAAATGGGTGGTATGTTTGTGTTTCAAATATAGTGTCTTTATCACGGAAGGTCCGAATACCGCCGATGAACAATGAATGTGATTTTCGTTATTTAAGGACTGGTAGGTCTGTATCAAGATGTTGGGTTATGACTTGATGAATGCATTTGGGGAAAACTTTATTCTTAAGCAAAAAGCTGAGACACGTGTGACAATGTCGGTACGAGAACCCGAACAAAACGAGTATATTAGTACAGTTTCTCCTGGTCACATCACGTATGTTGTTAATTACACTCTTAAAAAGATTTAAAGAACTATACCAGCTAATTTCAGGAGAGATATTTCAATAAATCGTCTCTCGTGAGCACGTTATAATTCGAACTCGCATATATTAAACGGTGACGTCAATCAAGATATTTTATGTACAAGCTTGTCTGGATATCTCTCTAACGGAAGAGATTTTTATTCAAAAGTTATTTTTAGAAACCAAGTTTGAAGGCAGATTTATTTCTGTGTTTAAAATATTTACGAGCATTGAAAACTTGAAAGCAATGTTTAAGACTCTTGAAATAAAAAGTATTTACGACCACAAAAAATATAGTTCGTTTGGGGAGTAGAAATGCCGCTGTTCCTCTGGTAAAATGCGGTTCTCATTTTTTTGTTTCTTTCTAATGAGCATTATATATTAACTTCGGTTTTCGCTTGCCTGCCGTTTAATAAATCTACATTTGGGAGTTTACAAAGTCAACTTTAGTACTTCAGTTTGGAAATTATTAGTTGATGTGACGAGGTTGAGATCAGGTATAAGCTTATATGTATAAAGTGTATATTTAGGAGCAAAAAATTATACATCATTGTTTAGCAGAAAGCCAAGAAATTTGACTTTATAATAATCCATCAAAAGACTGTCTTAATGTAAACGCTTAAGCACACTACACATGTACATTTTAATAATGTTAAGATTTGAGTTTTATATTTATACATACTTGCATGTCAAATTATGAAATATAAACACAGTCGTAGTCTTTCAAAAGTAATGCAGAGAAAACAAATTGTCTACGGACAGACGGACAAAGCCATATCGTAATGCGCCGCAAAGGTCTTCGGCATATAAAACCAGTGCACTCACTTGACGGATCTTTGAAGATTTTGAGATTAATGTTTCACTTGATATTGGTCAAGGCCAATAACATGTGTGAAAAATTTCATACCTTTCGCTTACTCAGTCTTTTTTCTTCAGAATGTTTACCGGAAAAATTTCATTTTCGCTTTAAACATTACTTTTTTGTACGTTGCACCAACACAGTATAGGTCCTAGAAAGACCTCAGGTGCTCTTCTGTGCATTATTTCAGACCCGGTCGAGCACCCCGAGTAGGATCATCAACGTCCCGTAAGCTAGCTGGATAGCTTCCTTACATTATTAACATTACTTTGTTAATTCTCTATGGCAATATAAATATTTCTATAAATTGAGCTTATAACCAAGGAACCATTTCATTACAATGGAAAGTGTTTATATGAGGAAATAAAACAAACAATATCCATCAGTATATTTTCTCTTTATTACCACAACATGTTTTGACAACATGGATCTTTACAAAAATTATGATGAACATGTACAATGCAATGCAGTAATAGATGAAAATTTCCTAGAGTTTGACCAAATATTTTTGAAGTTTACAAAGTATTGTATAAATAGTTTGACTATTAATATACATTATTTTTCCCTCATGCATTCTCTTCGGAACATGGAGATTAACAAATGGAATTATACCTCCCCCACCCCCATTAAGTATTGTCCTGATAAAAATACCTCATCAAGGCTTGACATGGTGACAATCCCTTTATGACACACCCACATCACTAGATTATGTTTACCTATATACATATGTAAATTACTTCTCAAAGACAAACATTTACAACAAAAATAAATCTCCTTAAAACGGAGCATTATGAAAGGAAAACAACATGATTTTGCAAGATGAATTAGTTATAATGCTTCCGGACACAGAAAACAAAACGAAACAAAATAAACCATTCATAAAACTAGACAGGATTCACAATTTTACAATCCTTCTCAGAACATAGTGACAACAGTAAAGTAAGAATAAAGAAGCAGTAATTCAATGTTTGGTCACCTTTCTAGTAAACCACAATTTCCTTATCTAACGAACTGAATTTTCAAATAAAAAAAAATAGTATATAAATTTCATGCATTTATTTACAAAAAAAAGAATGTATAATCACATCGAACAAGTGCATCATACTTGAAAGAAAAATATTTTCACCTAAATGTCTGCCTCTCTCACTCTCAATGACTGACATTTTAGGATTTTAATGATCTATAAATACAAACACACAAAAAATATAGTTTTAAAAATGATTCACCAACTTATCAAACTTAGTTGTCTCTTAATACACAGGAGTGTATCACATGTTACTCAATATAGAATGTTTATTTTGTATCCATAGTATCTTCTTCCTTCTTGTCTTTCTTCTCCGCAGCTACAAAAAATGAATAATAATAAAATACTAAAACATGTTCCAAGGCCCTTTAAGCTTAAAATTGTTAAATATAATATCTCAAAATCTACAAATTTTTTGTGTCCTGTTAGTTTCTGCAGCCAGTTGCTTCTTAGCGGTTTGGCAATAAGTACAGTTATAATAAGTGATATAGTATTTCACATGGCCCTTAAAATACCGCATTGTTTATATTTTGCTTCTTTTATTACCAATTACTTCACATTCAGCATTACTTTCTTTTCAGGCGATAAGCATAAGCATCTTGCATGATTTAAATGCATTATTACTGTCTTATATACAACATGATAAACCACATGTACTCCCTTTCTACAGAAGGATGTTCCTTAAACATTCGGATTTCCTATAATGGTCAATGGTAAATAAGTGATATAAATCATATCAAGGCAAAATTAGAGTACTTTTATTACTCAGTAGATAGTGTATGTACTGAACCTATTAAAATAGCACTGGGAACACTTTATTTTTTATTTTATCGTCAATGTATATTCACATTTGAGACACTTCAAGCTAAAACTAGAACATACTTAAGGAATATGCTTTCCTAATGAGAAAAGGCACTTAAAACATGTAAAGATACAATGCAAGGGAAATAACTTGGATCATGAAATATATTTCCCAGTATCTGCCTAATAGCAGCTTGATTAACCCTGCAGCCAAATGACTCACTAAACAAAGGGAAGTAATGCATACCTGTTCCTTCACCTTCGCCCTCACCAGCAGCGCTATCAGTGCGTCTACGTTTACGGGAGCTAAATGGTCTCCTAGCAAACCTTGGTACAGGTAGTGCATCCATGCCCAACACTTTATGAATCTGTCTGAATGCTATCAGCCTCAATGCATGCTGCAATAGTAATAACAAATATAATCAATGTCAATTATCAAAATACACAGAATTTTTTGTTTGGTTTATACAGAATTTATTTTAGTTCGATTGTGTAGAATTTTGTTTTGTTTGTTTCATTTTACGCCTTTTTCAACAGTGTTTAAGTCATATAGGCGGGTAGTTTCCTAACCATCTTTCCTGGAGAGTTACACCAGTACTAGACAACCTTCCTCCGCGCTAAACTACCAAAGCATCTCCCGGGGATCGAACCCACGCCAGAGAGGTAACTGGATTAGACGTCATCGACTCTAACCCCTCGACCACGGAGGCGGTATCGATTGTGTAGAAAGCTATTAGATTATATACACACTTTCGAATCCATTCCTAGAACCAACCTGTACTGAGCAAAAATACATGTATTGGGTTTAGCAAAAGAACAAGTATTGGGTTTAGCAAAAGAACAAGTAATTTGTTTAGCTAGCTAGATCACAATTACATTTTCAAAGTAAAATATTTCTAAGATCAGCTTAAAGCCTAAAACTTGCAAAATTACAGGAAAGTTATGAAGAAATCTAATGAATACATTCACAGACTTTACAGTGTGTTATGTACTTCAAATTTTGACGATGAAAAAACATTTACTACATTACATAATAAGAGTTCATGACAAACAAAAACCAAATGACGAGCAAGACCAGTAAAATTATCATTGTTCACTATAACAATGTCATAAAAGAATACAAACATGTTTATTACCATATGAGCCGCGTCATGACAAAACCAACACAATGGTTTTGTGACCAGCATGGATCCAGACCAGCCTGCGCATCCGCGCAGTCTGATCAGGATCCATGCAGTTCGCTATCAGTTTCTCTACTTGTAATACAGTTGGTAAGCGAACAGCATGTATCCTGATCAGACTGCCCGCGGATGCGCAGGCTGGTCTGGATCCATGCTGGTCCCAAACCCATTATGTTGGTTTTGTCGTGACGCGGCTCATATATTACCATGGTAAATGCAAGATATTTTTTTACCTGAGCAGAAGCAGTAATATCTTCTCTTTCTTGGTTACTCAAACCTGAAGCAGCATCCACTGGGTCTTTCTCACAGGGATCCAATAAACCAGGACCACCTGAAACAAAACACAAGTTATCCGTCAAAACTGTATCAAAATGCATACTTCATAGCACTTCAGATCAATTAATCCATTTAACAAATCAAGGGTATGAATAAATAGAGGATATTTGTTTAGTTCAGTGTAAGATCGGAATATATTTCACCGAGTGAGCACCAAAAGGTATATTTCACAAGTGGCGAAGCCACGAGTGAAATATAAACTTTTGGTGTTCACAAGGTGAAATATATTTCGATCTTACACTAAACTAAACAAATTTTCTTTTTATTATATGCAAAGAAACGTTTTTTAAAGACATTAAACCTAATACTGAATGAAAAGTGCGCCAAATAATAATACAACGTGACGTCATTTACGACGTCACGTCATTAAGTTGGTACCCAGTACTGTGCAAGCTGGTATTTCACTGAAACAATGTAAGGGGCTTAAATTCAAAACAGTGAAATTATCAAAGTGGTAATTTCACTGTTTCAAACCGAAAAGCATGTAAAAAAGGCTATTAAAGCAACTAGCTGGTCAGATAATTTTCACATTAACAATCTTAAGCATTACAGTGTCCTCATCAATACAGTTTATATAGAGGATATTTGTTTATTTCAGTGTAAGATCGGAATATATTTCACCGAGTGGGCACCAAAAGGTATATTTCACGAGTGGCGCAGCCACGAGTGAAATATGTACTTTTGGTGTTCACAAGGTGAAATATATTTCGATCTTACACTAAACTAAACAAATTTTCTTTTTATTACATGCAAAGAAACGTTTTAAAAAGACATTAAACTTAATACTGAATGAAAAGCGCGCCAAATAATAATACAACTTGACGTCATTTACGACGTCACGTCATTAAGTTGGTACCCAGTACTGTGCACGCTGGTATTTCACTGAAACAACGTAAGGGGCTTAAATTCAAAACAGTGAAATTATCAAAGTGGTAATTTCACTGTTTCAAACAGTGAAATTACCAATTTTATGTCACTGATATATTTCTATAAACCACCGAAAAGCATGTAATAAATATACATAGTAATTGCATTTAGCATTTATAAACTTTGACTGAATATTCCATAAAAAATTGTTCTTAAAGTTCAGTTTCTGTGTGTTTTTTTCTTTCTTATTGTGTTTTTTTCTTCCAGTTGTGTTTTACATTGCATCAACACAGTAGAGGTCATATAGCCCCTTCCCAGCTTTACTGGTGAAGATAGGCCTTGAGTGTCCTTCCAAGCATTATTTCTGGCACAAACAGACACAGAAGTAGAACCACCTATGTTCAGTAAGCTAGCTGGATAGCTTCCTCACATGAAAAAATTCAAAGTCCCTGTCAAGATTCGGTTCCACAGCAGTGAGAGGCAAGTGGTTTAAAGTCAACAGCCTTAACCACTCGGCAACAAATGCCCCAAAGTCCAGTTTGAACAATGACAGAATTGTACCATGAAGTACATATTTTAACACTGTTATAACTTCTGTTGTTTACCTGGAAGAAGTACACCAGAAGCAATACATTCAAACACACGTCTTAGAGCATCTCCAGGATTCAAATGTCCACCTCCACTGCTTACACATTTCTCCACAAGTAGTTCCATTGCCTGAATAATAGTTCAGTTATAATAATAACAAGCAAATTTGTTGAATTTATATCCCCCGCCGAGTACTGGTTATTATTAACACAACAACTGAAGACATAAGGCTTTATTTATATATTAATCATGGCATAAACTGTAATATTCTTTGAACTTGAAGCCTAAAAATGTACCTTCAAACAAGAAGAATTTTTAAGTTTTCACTATATACATATAAGGAAAATCTATGACCCCCTGGAGTGGGGCCAATTTTGACCCCAGGGCTAAAATTTGAACAATTTTGGTAGAGGACCTATATCCAGACGAAAATACCCAGGTGCACAACTACAAATACTGATCAACATTCCTGTAAAGTTTCATGACTCTAGGTCAAATACTTTTTGAGTTACATGCCACACAAGTTGAAAATGACAAAATTTTACTAAGTCAAAGGCAATAACTCTAAAAATACTAAAAATATCCAGACGAAAATACCCAGGTGCACAACTACACATACTGATCAACATTCCTGTAAAGTTTCATGACTCTCGGTCAAATACTTTTTGAGTTACATGCGACACAAGTTGAAAATGACAAAATTTTACTAAGTCAAGGGCAATAACTCTAAAGCTACTAAAAATATCCAGACGAAAATACCCAGGTGCACAACTACACATACTGATAAACATTCCTGTAAAGTTTCATGACTCTAGGTCAAATTCTTTTTGAGTTACATGCAACACAAGTAGAAAATTACAAAATTTTACTAAGTCAAGGGCAATAACTCTAAAAATACTAAAAATATCCAAACAAAAATACCCAGGTGCACAACTTCACATGCTGATCAACATTCCCATAAAGTTTCGTTGAATTCCAGCCATCAGTTGCAGAGAACTACTCCGGAAACGAAATTCTAAGTCAAGGGCAATAACTCTAAAAATACTAAAAATATCCAAACAAAAATACCCAGGTGCACAACTTCACATGCTGATCAACATTCCCATAAAGTTTCGTTGAATTCCAGCCATCAGTTGCAGAGAACTACTCCGGAAACGAAATTCTAAGTCAAGGGCAATAACTCTAAAAATACTAAAAATATCCAGACGAAAATACCCAGGTGCACAACTTCACATGCTGATCAACATTCCCATAAAGTTTCGTTGAATTCCAGCCATTAGTTGCAGAGAACTACTCCGGAAACGAAATTCGGACGGACGGATGGACGGACGGACGGACGGACGGACAACGCCAAAACTATATCTCCCTCCCGATTCCATCGGCGGGGGATAATAAATATATCAACAAGAACCGGTTGAACCGGGTGATGCTCCCCGAGAAGGTTCTGGACACAGGAAAGTATAAAAAAAATGAACAAAGGGCAATAACTCCAAAATTAGACCAGGCTTTGTTTAGGTTCTTTAAGCGTTGCAGTTCTATCCAATTATACCTAGCTACCTACAAAGTTTCATGTTGATATCTCTAATAGTTTTAAAGTAATGTCCAGGACAAAAGTCAAAAAGTAAAAATAAACAAAGGGCAATTACTTCAAAATAAGGCAAGGCAGAGTAATGATTCTTAAGCACTGCACTTCCACCCAATGAGACCTATCTATCTACAAAGTTTCATGTTTATATCTCTTATAATTTTAGAGTAATGTCCCAGACAAAGTTCAAAGTGTCAAAATGAACAAAGGGCAATAACTCCAAAAGTAGGCAAGACAGTGTAACAGTTCTTGTGCACTGCAAACTTACTCAATGAGATCTATCTACCTACAAAGTTTCATGTTGATATCTCTTATACATTAAGAGTTATGTCCCGGACAAAGTTCAAAGTGTAAAAATAAACAAAGGAGGATAATTCAAAAATTAGGCAATGCAGAGTTAAGGTTCTTGTTCACTGCACACCTACTCAATGAGATCTATCTATCTACAAAGTTTCATGTTGATACCTCTTATACTTTTAGAGTTATGTCCCGGACAAAGTTCAAAGTGTAAAATAAACAAAGGGGGATAATTTAAAAATTAGACAAGGCAGAGTTACGGTTCTTGTGCACTGCACACCTACTAAATGAGATCTAACTACCTACAAAGTTTCATGTTGATACCTCTTATACAGAGTTATGTCCAGGACAAATTTCAAAGTGTAAAATAAACAAAGGGGGATAATTCAAAAATTAGGCAAGGCAGTTACGGTTCTTGTGCACTGCACACCTACTCAATGAGATCTATCTACCTACAAAGTTTCATGTCGATACCTCTTATACTTTTAGAGTTATGTCCCGGACAAAGTTCAAAGTGTAAAATAAACAAAGGGGGATAATTCAAAAATTAGGCAAGGCAGAGTTACGGTTCTTGTGCACTGCACACCTACTCAATAAGATCTATCTAACTACAAAGTTTCATGTTGATACCTCTTATACTTTTAGAGTTATGTCCCGGACAAATTTCAAAGTGTAAAATAAACAAAGGGGGATAATTCAAAAATTAGGCAAGGCAGAGTTACGGTTCTTGTGTACTGCACACCTACTCAATGAGATCTATCTACCTACAAAGTTTCATGTTGATACCTCTTATACTTTTAGAGTTATGTCCCGGACAAAGTTCAAAGTGTAAAATAAACAAAGGGGAATAATTCAAAAATTAGGCAAGGCAGAGTTACGGTTCTTGTGCACTGCACTTCTACTCAATGAGATCTATCTACCTACAAAGTTTCATGTTGATACCTCTTATACTTTTAGAGTTATGTCCCGGACAAATTTCAAAGTGTAAAATAAACAAAGGGGGGTAATTCAAAAATTAGGCAAGGCAGAGTTATGATTCTTGTGCACTGCACACCTACTCAATGAGATTTATCTACCTACAAAGTTTCATGTTGATACCTCTTATACTTTTAGAGTTATGTCCCGGACAAAGTTCAAAGTGTAAAATAAACAAAGGGGGATAATTCAAAAATTAGGCAAGGCAGAGTTACGGTTCTTGTGCACTGCACTTCTACTCAATGAGATCTATCTACCTACAAAGTTTCATGTTGATACCTCTTATACTTTTAGAGTTATGTCCCGGACAAAGTTCAAAGTGTAAAAATAAACAAAGGGGAATAATTCAAAAATTAGGCAAGGCAGAGTTACGGTTCTTGTGCACTGCACTTCTACTCAATGAGATCTATCTACCTACAAAGTTTCATGTTGATACCTCTTGTTGTTTCAAAGTTATGTCCCGGACAAGAAAAGGGGACGGACGGACGGACGGACGGACGGACGGACGGATGGACGGACGGACGGACAAGGCGGCGACTATATGCTCCCCCGAAATTTTTTCGGGGAGCATAACAAAATGATGTTCATATCAGAAGCTTTTTTTATTTTGTACAAGTTCATACTGTAAACAATAACTGTTAAGACAACACACTGAACTAACCTCAGTGCTTCAACAAGAGCCTCCATAAATCAGGAATTAACAAAGAGGAAGAATTTGTTCAAAATACATGACATAATCTTGGATACTTATCCAAGAATTTTCAATTTCACCAAGAGCAATATTTCATTCCAAGTCTATGCCAGAGTTACTGGTATTTGAAAGTGACTTTGAATTGTAATTCTGAAGACATGTCATGTGTTAAGTTTAAAGAAAATACCTTCCGTTATTTTTAAACATGAAAATTGCATTCAAAACTATGACTAACAATATTCTATGTAAGCAACAGGCCATAATTCAATCAAATTCCAGGTCAGTTATAGACCCTTGACAATATCCTCCAATTATAATCTTGAAGACATGTATCAAGTTGCAAAAATATATCCTTAAGTGCTTTGAAGATTAGTGTTGCAATGAAAAAGTTGAACAAAGAATTTTCTAAGTTCACAAAGGGTCATTACTCGATGAAAATTCATGTCCGAGTAATGTGCTTTGGAAAGTTACCTCTAATTATGATGACAAATTCCATGTGGATATCTTCAGTTGTTTTGGAGATTGATGTTGCATGCAAAACTTTTGGTACACAAATGGACATTACATCAGTTAAATTTCATGCAACCCCTATGGGCCTTAGACAGCTAGCACTAATTATAATCTTGAACATGTGTATTAAGTTTCATGTGAATATCTTCAGTTGTTTTTAAGTCAATTTCAAGATCAATGTTGCAAGCAAAATTTGACCCAAGAATTTTTAAGTTTACAAAGGGTCATAATTCAATCAAAATCAGAAGAGTTTGGACATTAAACGGTGAATCACAAGTATGATCTCTGACACAAGTGTAAAGTTACAAGCAAATATCTTTAATGGTTGATAAGATAGGTACAGCATACTGACATAGGAGACTGTACAAGAAATTGCAAGTAAAATTTCAGCCAAAGTGTTATGCATTACACTGAAAAATATGATAGCAACACAACTATTTTTTCAAATAGTCAAGCTAAAAAGCTTTTAATTCCAATTCAATATAGATGTATATTAATCATTCCATGGCACATATCGATCATCTTTGACAAAGACAGAACAGTTCTTTTTCCAGCTTTTAACTAATGTAAATCAACTGATTTTAATCATACAACATCATTATAAACACCAATGAGTAATTAATATCTTCATTTAAGCATAAAGGAAAACTAAAATAAAACCTACCCATTCATTCAGTGGTGTCCAAGTTGGAACCCGTTGGCAAAGGTCTCGTAGGATTCTTATCACAATAACGCATGACTGCAGACCGTTTGCTCTAGCCTACAGATGAATTATAGAAATACTTTCATACTCATCTAATCATGTACATAAGATATACGATCAAGAATCTGGACTTTTTTTCAATCATGAATGACAAAAATGAGTAAAAGGTTTAATCCTAGATATATGAAAGATGCAACTGCCATTTATACTATTAGATACTATTATGGGTCTGAGTAAGAGAGTATAAAAGTTAAAGCTGTCCAGCACAATGTCATTTGTCTGTCATGTCAGGCCTGGGTTCAAATTATGGCAGCCGTTCTTTTAAAATATAGGATAAAACAAGAAGTCACTATTCATGACAATATTATAAATTCATCTACTTCTTCTATAAGAAAGTAGTTCCTAAGTAATTTTAATTACGCTTGTCATTTACTTTATTAAAAGATACAACATTTGTTACTGAAATCCAGATTCCCGAGAGTTTGGAGGGAGGAGAACATATATATGTGAGTAGATTTTGAGCCTCGGCCAAGTATTATACACTTGGTGACAGCTGTATGTCTACTTTCGTTAACTTTCCAGCCTCATGTGTAATGAAGATCAATGATCAATCTTAAAACTAGTCACTTCATGGAATATGCATGGATCTGTACAGAGGGGGACAAAATATACCTATAACACTACTACATATGTGCAACATTTGTGTGTCCAAATTTATGATGGCTAAAAATGACAATTTGAGAGCTTAAAACAACACTGTCAAGGGCTTATAATTTTGACAGAGTTGCCTTAAACACTAAAGTTGTCAATATCATTAAACAGATTTAAAAATATTAAAGCAAAGCAATGGAAACGTTAGGACTGTTCTGGCACTGCCCTTGCATAATAATGACAACTCAAAAGTGTTCAATATACTGATACACAGTCTATAATGGGCGTACAGTTTTTAATCAAAGTCTTTAAAAATGTGCAAAATATGTTTCAACAGTTCCATGATAATGCATATTCTATTAGTCAACAAAAGATCACTCAATCATCAAATATTGTACTCCAATTCATACACACCAAACTTACACCCTGTATTTGTTCTATTTTTAGAAATAAATGATGATTAAATGTCTTTATGTAAGCTTATGACTCTGACAGATCTACTTACCTTGTTTCACACGAATAGTAATAATTTAATAATTGCCAGTTTTATGTTTGCATATACTGGTACTATAACAAAAGTTTCACTGAACTGTATCAGTAAAAGCATGTTCTTTTGTTGTTGGTTTTTTTTGCAAATTTTTGATTTGACTAATCAACCAAATTTGACATAGTGTCTAAAACAAAACCATGACAATATTCCAAACAGACTACATCTGGGCCTTTCATAATAAGGTGGCATGATATTTGCCAAGCATGTATATTATGTGCAGTCACAAGACTGTAGATGTTATGCCAGAGAATCTTAACATGTGTCAAGTCAAAGTTATGAATCCATTACATAATAGTCAAGCCAATTTTTACTTTAGAGCAATACACTTATATTTCAATTTTTTTTACACTTGGAATGCAAACTGTCCTTATTTTTTACACTAATTATATCATACAAAGGTGAAGTAATTTTAATGCGAAAATAGCTCCTCTATTCATGCCGCCTAAATAGTCATGACAAAAAGAAACTCCACAATTCAAACTGGACTTGTCATATGTATTAATTTTTTTATGTGTGTGTGTGTTTTTTTTTACACCAATTTAAACACATTTATGGTCATATCTAGGCAGTTGGTCCACCTAACAGGCTGATTTTTAAGTCAATGAGACACAAATGAACATTCGATCCAAAGTCTATAATCAAATTTTCAAGAGAAATTAAGCCTTGACCAATGATCAGACCAGACACCCCTTACTTATCTGATGCTCTTCCTATTGAGCTAATCAGGCTGACAAATTAAGCAGAAATAACGTCAAGAGTCCTACTGCTCTCAAGTAAATCCTGCCTTGGCTATGATACAATGGATTGGGAGAACCTACTCAATGAATTCAGATAAAAGATTGATCATTCATACCCATAGAATTTTCTAACAACCTCATTCAAACAAATTCATGTAAAAAATGAGTAAAATATAACAAAAACACATGTCATAAGGCTGCAAAGTAGTATAAAAGTAGTATCGAACCTGGAACCATTTAGCATGTCGTAGGGCTGCTAGAGCATCTAGGCATTTCTGCCTATCCAACACATCTGGAGGATCTTTCACCGTTACTGTTGTGGTCTCTGTATTAACAAACACGCATGATGGACTACTTTCTGTATGGGTGTTTGAGCATCGAAACAGGGCTTCAGGTTCACAGGGAGATTTCTGAGCCTCTTACCGCTCAAATCTCTCCCCTATAGGAGGACACTGTCACATACAATGCCAGGCTTTCTACAACATGGTTATCTTTTTACACAGGGAAAATGCTCAAGACATTTGGGATTGAACAGTTGTAAAATACACATCTTCTAGATTTCAAGACTTTTAACAGCAATGACAAAATTTCATATTGATAAAAATAAACTATATTTTGTATTGCATGAAACCTATATGTGTTAAAACATGACCATCTTCTAGGATTAAAATCTCTACAACAATATCAAAATGTATTCTTAGACTTTGAAAGAAATTATTAAGAACAAATTTCAAATAATAATGGCTCAACAATTATTAACCAAAAGACTATTTCTTAAAATAGCGTCTAAATGGAATTTCAAGAGAAGCATTTAACCATTAATTAAAGATATATTCATGGTAAGAAAACACATATTGAAAGGGAGACAAAGGTTGAAGTAAAGCCTATTTATGCGACAGAGTCCCCCAACCGAAGCCCCGATCATGGTCAAAAATCCATCTACACTTCCCATGAAGCTCACTGCTAGTAAAAGAAGGCTTCCCAACGTTTAGCATGAAAATGAACAACATTTTATGTAGTATTAATACATGACAGCAAACTTTTTATTTCAATACAAATTAAACTTCATTGTAAGCCTTCCGTTTACACTGCATTTTTCATATCTTTTTTTCTTCTTTCCTCTTCCATTAATTTCAAATTTCAAGACTTTTCATGTTTAGTACACTTTTGATTGTAGATTGATCATGACACAAGATTGAAAATAAAAATGTTTTCTTCCTTACAACAATAAAATATCTTCTTCCTAATATAAATGATTATAAAAAGTCATATATTAAAGATATATTTTTTTCCATTCTTTATTGCTTATCAAGCCCAGCCATGACCATTCTACTGAATGCCAAAAACAAGTTTCCAAAATACTTGCTGCAATTGTTTTTTTTCACAAGTCTTAAAATATAATTCACGTGTTAATCCAGGATATCCCCCCAAGTGATAATGAAGACAATACCTCCTTCGGTTGACTCTCTCATAATAGGTGACGTTAGGGTAATCGTGCACGAGACTTTCGGATCCACGTTATTTGTGACTACGATGGCTGCCTCCTCCACACATCTCTTGACATCATACTTCTCCTCTGTTACAGTCTATTACAGATAAAAAAACTTTGTTTACATCTTTGTCAACTAATCAATATCAATCAAAAAGTTAGCCATACAAAATTAAAATGAGCATACCATATTTACTTAGTATCACGACACTATCGCGCAATTAAATAAAGATTGATCAGCATGCCTATCATATAAACTTCTAGACAAATATTTACTACTAATTCTGAATGTATAAGCAAAATATTACGACTCTTTCACTGGCCCTATATATTGCCTCAAACAATCTTTCAGTGAAACATAAGTAAATTGCCGAAACTTAACTGACTTCCCTAAGCTAAAAACACCACTTCTTTACAGTTTAACAAATACTCGTGATTTTGTGAAAAAACCGATTTGTGGGGTTCTTACATTCATGGATTGGACGTTTTTGCAAAACAGTAAAATGCAAATTATGCAAAACAAAATACAAAATGTAATATTGTAGACAAAATAAAATGTCTTTGTATCTAAAATTCATGGATTGACCTACCAAAGAAAAGCACAAAATTTACAGAGACGTTTTCAGTAGTGATGTTCCGAATGTCGCAAGTCGCCGATAATCAGTTACTGTTATGTAAAACGACAATAATCAATTCACAAAAATTTGTTCCGCGACGTCGTCGAAAATGTTTAAAGTATCAAAGGGAATAAATTCTGACGGTAATTTTCTTTTAGGAACATCTCGCCGATCGCAAAAAAATCACTCAGATACATCTTAGAGTTGAACAGGATCAATAAATGATGTAAACAATAGTAATATAATGTGATATGAATGGTATTATTTGACATCCATTGAAAAACAAAATCTATTTCATCAAATTATGACTATATAAGGTTAAAACTGTGTTGAAAAGTGCTAAATGAAGTTTGTGTTACTAAATATAATCAAGTGCCTTGGTAAGAAATGTTACTTTCCTATTTCTTTTAACGCGACTTTTTTCAAAAGTTATCGATTATGTCCCATCCGACTGAATCGATGATCGATTGGGACAAATTTCATCCGATTTCCATCACTAGTTTTCAGAGTTGACTTTTCATTTCACATAATGACTCTTATTTAAAACCTGAACACTTTTTAGCCACATCATTGATAGGGTAAAGAAACCAATCCTAATATCTTTTATAACAAAGACTGATGACCAAAATAATATCAAAATTAGAAATACAGTCGACTCTACTTATAACGAACTCGCTTATAACGAATTATCGTTAATAGCGAACTAAATCTGACATCCCCTGCCGATTCCTTCTTTATTTTATATTAAATCACATCGCTTAATACGTACTCGCTTATAACGAATTTTCGGTTATAACGAACCATTTTTTCAAGCCCCAAATGACGGAAAACATTTAAATTTCCTCGGTTATAACAAACTGTTATACTTGAAATATCGGGATGAGCTTGATTAGGATCAGTACATGAATAACGCTATCCAATAATTATACAATCAAATGATTGCACAAGTTAGTTATGGCTTCAGGGAATAAAGATTTTCATAAAATGTTTTCACAATATAATTTCCTACTTGTTACGGAAAATTTGTATTTCACACCCTCAGTTGATTGCTGTAAATACCCGATAATTGCCAAATAATCGATTTTTTTGTTTGCAATATTAACCAAACGATAATAAACGATAAAAGAACTTTATAGACAATTAATACATGAATAAATACTTGTACCATGTACATGATATATTGCTCAATAAAATGCCCCGCATTAAATAACCGCTGAAGTAAATACCGGTTACATCGGTAACCAGTGGAGAGTATGGCTTTTTCACAGCAAATTTCCCCATCCAAACAAGTCAGCAAGTTGCTGCTACTTCGCTTTTAGCGAACTTCGGATATAACGAACGATATTTTAATGTCCCATTGAGTTCCTTATAACCGGAGTCGACTGTATGTTTATGTTCAACATTTGTTTTCACATCAAACTGAGGATGACCATTAAATGTACATGCATGTGAAATAAGCTTATATAGGATTCCTACTTACAGCAAATTGTTTTGGCAGACCATCAGCTACTCTCTCCAGCAATGTGCGAGTGGGTTTCTCCGAGCATAGGACAACCAGATGAACATTGAGATCTCCATGAAGCAGCAAACCCTTTGCTAGAACACCAACTCTCATCACTCCCTTTAATATACGTGGAGGTACAGCCTCTTCCTTCTCTCTGTGACCAAGAAAAAAACACAAAATTATTGAAGATGAAAGTATATTCAATTATTAAGTCAATATCACATTATCTAATAGTGAAATACAACTGCATCACAGGACGAAAACAAATATAAAATTTAAACACAAGCCAAATGAAACAATATATAATTTCATTTACACACTTGGAACACAGCGTTGTGAATAATAAACTTATTATATATCATGTAAGTTAAAAATAAACACACTCTCTAATGTGTTTCTGGAACCAACTCATACTAAGCATTTAGTGTAATGATTCTTGCTAAAGGTAAACAACAAATTTTTTCTCAAAAGGTTGTACCCCACTTCTCTCTAAGCTGTAAACCCAGTGAAGTTTAAGATAAATGCAGTTTCGTATATCATAATAAAATAATTTACGTTTCTTTTGTTTCCTCGTCTTTCTTCGGAGATTCTTTCACTTCTTTCTTCACTTTTATAGGTAGCTCTTTCTTTACATCTTTACTATCAACACCTTTAGCCTTTGCATCACTGCAATATACACATACTTACATGATACAACTTTTTCTTTAAAAATTGTTTGCACTCAATATAATTTTGGGTACTTGATGTTTAATGTTAGCATATGTCCTTTTAAGCACAGAAACATATATATCCTCACAGCTTACTCAAATTTACAATACTTTAAATCTGGTTTTAGTTTTTTAATTTTTCTTCACAAAAATTTCTTGTTCAAAATGTTAATATATATATGAGCCGCGTCAAAATAAAAACCAACATAGTGTGTTTGCGACCAGCATGAATCCATACCAGGCTGTGTATCCAGCGCAGTCTGATCAGGATCCATGCTGTTCGCTATCAGTTTCTCTACTTGTAATAGTGTAAGCAAACAGCATGGATCTTGATCAGACTGCGGGGATGTACAGGCTGGTCTTGATCCCATGCTGGTAGCAAACACACTATGTTGGTTTTGTCATTGTGCTGCTAATATGTGATATAGAGGTATATATTCACCAGTCTGCTACATAGTCTGACACTAGTTTGAGAGCTTTCTCACAAGCTGACACAATATTCTGTACATGTTGAAGCTCCTCTTCGTTAGGATAGATTGAAGCATGTTTGGCCATCACATGACGATCATCAGATGAATCTGGCTTCCTCACACCCTATAATTCAAAGGTTTGAAAACTCAGAAATGTCATTGGCCATATAACATAAACAAACAAGGCAAAGACAGTAGCACTACAACATGGAATGATGTGTCTATGTTTCTTTTTGTTTTGCTTAAAATCTATAGCAAGTATCCTGTATTCCAGTGAAATTACTTAAAATTAATACTTATAATCTTGGCTTACTTAAGACAATTTACATGTAAGAAACTGATACATACTGGTGGCATTTGTCCAAATCTCAGTGGTGGCATACCAGGTCTTCCCATTCTATGCCACTCATAATATTCCATCTCTTCCTGATAGCGGCGACGTTCTTCCCAGTAATACTCCTCCTCCATCCTGTATAACATATATTACGTTCAACATATCACTACTGATTATATAAACAAATCTTATACATATGCAGCCAATTAATTACTCGACACCGTTGGAAAAAGTGGTCATAATGAATTATAATTACCATCAGAGAAAAGTTATAAAAATCAGAGATAAATTATAAGATTATACATTGAAACCTTGCATTTCTGCGTTCTCTATGCAAGTACAACACAGCCTTTCCTCTCTTTCTGAATGAAGAGTTTACACTTCTCACACCTAAGCATAGTTAGATTTTCATATTGTACATGTATATGAATAATCAATAAATAAGCATCTGAACATGTTAGTTACATTCAGTAACAGTCCTTTCAGATAGTTACAAATAAATTTGTATTATTACCTTTGTTCTTGCTCTTTACGTCTCCAGAACTCCTCTTTCTGTGCCTGACGTCTCAACTTCTCCTCTTGAATCTTGCGAACACGAATACTAGGCTTAATCTCAACTTGTAGACTAGGATCCACTTTTTTCTATGAAGAAATAATTGATCACATCAGAAAGGCAATAATATTCCTCTACTTTATGTATATTAAGTTTGATACAATTTCTTTTCTCTGAACCATACACTGCTAATATGCATGAGGTATAGGCAATTTTTTCCATATAAAATATTATTTTTACATACTTCTGTTGTGCAATAGCCCAATAATGTGTTAACATGGGCGAAAGTTCAATAACAATCCTGAAAATCTGTACACAACAACTTTTTTTTGGTGATATCACTTTATATATTGACAGCACCTTATGTAATTTTGGAACTCTTTAACGTCGTAAGAATTTGCATGAACCCAAAGGTATGCTTCTCTAAGGTTGCCCACACTGACATTCTTAAAGGTCAAATGGCAAATTTCCAACTTAACTAGTGGATGAATGGCCCTTTCACAGATTTACCTTTCAGAAACTAGCCGAAAAACTTCCTCATATGCAAGAATCCAAAGTTCATGATGGGACACAAAACTCTAACAATGAGGGCGAGTGTTTCACATATTACTAAAGATAATATTTCTAAAAGACTGAAAACACTTTACCTTATATTGCAGCCTATGCCTTCTTCCTTTCATGTGCATATCCTTCGCATTTGGATCATTGAATTTACACTCACATAATTTACAGTTAAAACTGATGATCTTTCCAGTGGCATCATTCTTGATCTCTTCAATGTACTCATGACCTGAATTACAATCAAATGTCAGAATGTCATGGGTTATTTCAAAATTTAAATAAAAACCAAAAACTGTTATTAACTGACAATCTTAAATACACAATGTATATAATCTGTATATTTTCACAAGAAGACCTGATGTTGAAATCCACATATTTATCTTTGACTACACATAAACTTTATTTCATATTAAGCAGTTTTCAATCTAATACAGATGTCAAAATGTAACAATTATGTTGCAAAAATAAAAGATACATGACCCTTTACAGTAACAATATAGCCCAACCTGCTTAAATGCAGAATGTACTATGAAATGTTTGTTTATACATGTTTCGAGTATGTGATTACTAAATCAATGTAAAATATCAACATACCAACTGGGGTAACATCCTTTTCTCCAAGAATGTTTAGAGGACCATCATCCATATCATCAGCTGAAATATCAGTTCTATAATTAACAGATAATTCTTACAGGACATGAATCTGTATCTATTCTTATTATTATATCTTACTATTATTCTATAATAGTTTTATATATATACTTACCTTGTTCCTAATCTAATAGTCAATTCTTGAAAAAGGTTTAACACAGAATGTCTCTGTTATTGAACACACATGCATATCATATTTTAACAGACAAAAATATTTTCTGCTTTTTAATGATAAAGAAGTTAAGCTAATAAATTTATCTTTTAATTTGTAACAAAAATTCAAACAAACAATATTAAAATTAAATTGCTTACAATCCACAGAAATTTGTGAGGAGACAGTTGAAGCTGAACTAGGTGTGGGTGCTTTCACCTCCTCCATCTTAGCACCAGTTGTCTTCAACTGACTTCCACCTGATCAACAAAAACAAAGAAAATATTTTAATAGTACATCATCTTGGTGGGGTTTTTTTTATATATGAAAATTACATTTTTAATAAAAAGAATATGTTTTTCAATCAAATATTACATTTTAAGTGTAAAGATTATTGTAGTAACAACTTACCAACAAAGGTAATCTTAGGAGTAGCAAGGACCTTCTTCACAGCACTTGGAGCAGGCTGGACTGGAGCTGCTTTTGTTGTGTTACTTGTAACAGTTTTAGCAGTGGACTGTGTTGTTGTGCTAGCTTTTGTTTGACCCACAACCACTGGGTCAGTTGATGGAATTGGCTTACCAAGTTTAGTATGTAGCTTAAGTACCTTTAAAAAGTTGTATATATAAATGAATATCAAAATTGCTAGTATACAATCCTTAACAGTATAAAAATGTTTCAACAAAATTTCTAGCATGCAATCATGAACAGCATTAAAATGAATCAACAAAATTTCTAGCATACAATCCTTAACATCATAAAATTGTTTCAACAAGGAAGTCTTCTGTTTTACTCCTATTACATAACAAATAAATTATATGGACAGAAAAATTATTTTTGGACATGTGCATAATTTCTATATTTTTATGTTCTCAATCATGCTTAAAATATTTTGATAATCTTTAAGCAAGATTTCTCAAGAGGAGCATATTCATCTGCGTTATATGAATTCTTAGATTTTTACCCATTTTTCTGCAGTAAACCTTTATTTACCTTTTGATGTTTAGCTCCTCTAACATGAGCAGCGTAAGCATCTGCTCCAGTACATGTAACATCACAGAGTTCGCAGCGCAGCTGGTTCTGACCTCCGCGGCCGGTGGTCGCAGTTGCAGTACCAGATTTGGCTGCAGCTTCTTTCTTCTTGTGCTTCTGGCCTTCCAGATGCTCCCTGTATGTCTGAAACATGAAATTCCTCCCATTTTAACAACAGATTTACAATTGAGTTGAAGGTGATAAAAGAGAACATGTAAAATGTATCTTGCTTGAAAGTGTGACATTTCAAGAAATACCTTGTTCAATATCTTTCATTTCATTAAGTACAAAATAGTGGAGATTTTTATTACACAAAAGTGTAAATAAAATTTATACACTTGGCAGATAAGACAACAGAAACCTTATATCGATCAAAGAGAAAGCATTGAGAGGGATTTTATTCCAAAAGCTTTAGCTGTGCAACATAGATCATTTATTTCACAGATCATTTTTCCCCTCCATAAATATCACTTTTTAAAAGTTGAAAATTAAACAGATAATTTTTGTTTCCGCAGATACCAATATCTTCTTTTAAAGGCTGACAAGATTATTACATGATGGACTATAAATACCTGTGGTCCAGCACAGCTTATCTTACACACATCACAATAATGGAGCTGAGGCTGCTTTGTAACTTTTGGCTTTCCTAATCCATTCTTGCCCACAGTGGTGGTTCCTGTTTTCTTCAGTGTAGACCAGGTACCAGTAGCTTTAGCAGCTTGTTGTTGCTGGTAATAACTTGTTGCAGCTGAGTATAGGGCTGCATCATAACCTGTGTACAATGAAAACTAACTAACTTAACAACTTACAAATTTCTCCACATGTGACCAATACTCATATTACATGATTTCAGAATCAGCAGTGAGAGGCATATCACCATTAGACTCAACTGTCAAGGATAAATTATGCTTTGCCTGCAGATCAAACCATCAACCCCTGAATTACAAATCGGGTAAACTTTCAGAATTAATTCAATATGTTGGTTTACAACAAAATTCAAATCAAGTCAAGAGAATAAACAAAAATAGAACCACTGATCATATGATAGTTGGATAACTTCCTAACATGAAAGTTAATGAAGACCGGAATCAAACCCAATGCATAGAGGGACAAGTAAACTTGCATATTAACCAATCACAGAGGCTCACCATCTACTGAGATACCAAGATACAAAATAAGTTTTATCTTCCACTCAAGGTCAATGCTTATATTATAGAAAGAATCTATTTATCAAGTCTCTAATGCACACAGATATCAAGTTAAAACTCTTGACTTTACTGATACAGTAAAAGTTATGTACCAGAATAAGTTGAAGTTGTAGCAGTGGTGGCTGACTGGTAAGTTGTGGCAGGGTTGTACGTTGTTGCACTCTGACTAGTAGCCCCGGCAGTGTAAACATAGTTAGTCGGTGTAGACGTCACTTGAACTGTCTGCACCTTCGGTACTGTAGCCTGTCTCTGTGCTGTGTAAGTTGTACCAGTGGAATATGATGGTTTCACCACAACTGTAACATTGATGAGGACAAGGCTAAGATTAAATTAATTCAGTAACAATGTGCTAATTTTAAGATGGGAAAATATTTTCTATTATTACATTAAATGATACATAAGCTACTACTATTTACGTTGAAAAAGAAAGTAGTTGTAACATATCATATCTAGGTATTACTAATTATTTATTTTGTAAAAACACAAGTAGGACTTTTTGCTCTGACAAAATCATGGCAAATTTTACAAACTGAAACTCAAAAGAACAAATATAACTGAATAGAGCTGCCAATGATTCAGTCCAAAGCATTCATGAACTATTGATATCTAATGACAAATATTGATCATTATGCCGAGTATAACGTTAAATCTAAATTCACAAAGTTCATGTTTACAGTAATATACAGTCTGTGAAAAAAGTTAAGTACATGTACTATTTATAATGCCCTATGCATGTTTTTTGTGACCATTATTTGTCTTCACTACTATGAAATATGTACATTAAATAACAACATTGTATCAATGACAGCTCAATAAATGTACCAGTTTGTTGTTGATATTGTGTATCTCCTGTTGTGTAAGTTGCAGTAGCTTGTGCAGGCTGATAATATGTCTTTTGTTCATATGTGGCAGCAGGCTGTTAATGAAAAATATACAGGTTAAATACAAAACAGATTAATACATTTTGTATTATAATCAAACAAAAACACATCTTGAAAGTTTTGCTCATGTGCTAGTAGTATTTCTTCTAAAGCATAAATTTTTTATGTTCTATTTGATATTTCATATAATCATACTTAAAACTAAATCTACTGGTCCATGTGTATTAACTAATATAATTTAAAGCATCAGAAAATTATCCATGAAATACAGACAAAAGAGTAGCATAGGATGCGGGACAAGTACAATTTAGTAGTCACAGGATGAAGGACAAGTATAACTTAGTGGTCAGGACAAGTAGCTCTGTAGAATTGTCTCATCCATCATAAATTTAAGAGAACTCGATGCAGGACATGTAGAAAAATGTTGCCTGCACATTTGGTTTAGAAGCTACTCCTCCTGCTTGACAAGTGACTGAGACTCTGAAAATATTTTTGCTGCTAATGCACCAAAAACTTACAGTAACTGCAACTTGAGTTCTAGCATAAGCATATTGCGGCGTGGTATGTTGTGTCTGGTAGGCATCGTATGCCTGTCCTGCTCTTGGTGCTGTAGCGTAAGCTGCTGCTTGAGGTGTTGCTGCAACAAATGCTGTCTGTACTGCAGCAGGATAAGCTGGGGCAGGCTGTGCTGCATTAGCTGCTGGGTACACATAGTGTGCCATCATTTAAACCTAAAATACAAGAAAACAATTTATAAGTTAAATCAGTACTCTCAAAAAACAAATTTTATACTCAAAAAAACTGTATCATAATTATCAGCTAAAAATTTTTGATACCCTTGGTATGTCCACCTTAACCAATTTTACTGGACTCAAGTCAGATAGAATTGAATGACAAAATTCTTTATACATGCAACAGTTAATAATTAAGAATTATGAATTTATGGAAACTAAATCTGACATATCACTTCCTTTAAACGGTCACTTGTGGGTCAGAAACATTGTGAATCCAAAAGAAAGTGTTTCACAGGATAAAGTTGGAGCCTTACCTAACACTTCATATTACAATATCTAAGTTTCTTTGATGTGCTTACACTGTGTGCAGCACTGTAGTGCATGATTGGGCATGATGCAATGTGAATTGAGTCAGAGCTTTATACAGCGACTGTTCCCCAGGAACCTTGGAATGATTTACCATAGCTATACCAAGCAAACTTACTCATTTTCTCAAAAAAAGAGTGAACAGTTCTTTTCTGTGACATATGCCCATGCTTATGATGCTATATAGTGGAACCCCATTGTATCGTGCTATTCATTGTATCGATCTATTTACAAATCTTTCAATTTTTTTGCAAAATGCAGTAGCTACTGATTGCTAACATTTACAAAAGTGTCACGAAAATCTTTCGCATTTGTTTTGTGCCGTAAAAAACGGTCAAAAACAGGTTTCCAGTACCGTCAGACTTTGTAGATAATAAATGGACTTATAAATATAGTGTTCTTATTAAAAACACATTTACTGTCTGTTGCAAGTTCCTTAATTTATGCTGACATTTTAAAACAGACATCTTTGATTCTAATTGACTGAAAAATCTAGCATAAAGATGGGTCAGACTTCCAAAACTTTGACTTAATGAGCGATTCTCACAATGCATCGATATAATGGCGTGACCTTAATTCTTCAACCTGTTTGACATATTTGTAAATAATCGTATATTCCAAAGCTAAAAACTATATATCAGTGATGTTTGCCATGTAAATTTAATGTTTTTAACTGCAGTTGTGATTTATGGGTTAATAGATCGATACAACGGGGTTCCAGGCTACAATCAATTGAATTTCTCAACAAATATCAAAGTAATAGGTATCAAGAACAAATACTGTAAACATGGATGAAAAGTTAGTTACAAGTAACAACTCACGACAACCTGCAAATTGTTATATCTGTATTTCGATTAGTAATATTCTACAAACTTCCAGTTCAAAAATTATACAAAAACCAAATGCGGGAAAAACGGTGTGTGATCTTGCAAATCCAAAATTTGTTTTTGTTTTTAATACGGGGAAGTCAAAGACCGGGCCTGCGAAGCGGGTCCGGGCTTTGGCTTGCCCGGCTATAGACTACACGTGTATATTTAAAAGAAAATCAAATAAAAAACAATTAAAAAATATATAGAATTCTATACCTATCAACGAAATTTTCAGTGTCAGTTCTAGTCGGGCACCGCCATTTACAATGTAACTCAATGATAATAGGCGGGGTATTCCGATAACGTACCAAATCTCAACTTTTCGGATAAATAATAATCGTCGAGTGTTCCGAGTGAAAACGGAAGCAGTGCATGTAATACCGAATGACACCTTTAAAACGGAAGGAATGAAAGGAATATTTTAACGACTTCCCCGTTCATAGGCTTTGCCTAATTTCATATTATTTTCCCAGAATTTTCTTATCTTGAACCACTTTTACTGCATCATTTTCAGATTCCTAACATTTTTAACACTACCCTGTAAAGATGAGCAAGGACTTAAACTAGTTACTTCTTAAAAGGAAATGATAGAGAGAATTGTGTCAGTGTTTTGTCAGTCAGTCAGACATGCGTGATGCGACACCGGCCCGGTTTACCAAACTTTCTTTCTTACTGCACGTACAGTACGTGCAACAAAAAAATACCTTTTCAATACGTAAGGAATGGACAAATATGTTTGACTAAACAATAACTAATTCAACAGTAATTTCACTTCAATGGTAAAAAGAAAATGTTGCATACTTAAAAGATTTTCAATCGATTTTTTTTCTGAGCCAGACAAAGTGCCCGGATGATCGTGTGCAGTTAACGGCGCCGCGCAATTACTCATGCAGAGATTTCACTTTAGTTACGGGATTGAAACCACCAAATTTCAGGTCGAACATCACTAGTTATTTTTTATTGCTGCAGTTTTCACAGACACTTGGGGTTTGGAGCTCAAAACGCCTTTAAAATCCAAATAAAATGCATATTTGTCAATCCCAGCACATGTACTGATCATATATATCAAAAAAAAACTTAATATAAGCCGTTTTGAAAAAAAATCATATTTCAACAACTTATTATTATAGTTGTTGAAACCCCAAGTGTCTGTGGCAGTTTTAAGATATATATGAGCGGGATTACTGACGTATCAGTAACAAACATAAAAATTAAAATTGAAAGAGTACATGATATATCCCGGAACAACCAATATTCAATCAGTTAAGCTGTTTTAAGCCAAATGATGAAATGAAAGGAAATTTTTATTCTTTAAATTTATTTTGGCGTCGAGTCTAGGGACAGCCAGGGCGGGCGACTGCCGCCCAAATAGTTTTGTTAGAAACGGCAATGAATTAAAGTAAAAATATCTCATTCTGGATATGAAATGTCATTAATTATGTGTCATTGACAAGGATGGTAGATCTTTATAACATTCTGACTGACAACGGTTTCCAAAGTGCGTGACAGTGACAACATGCTGCATGTGCTTGTAACCATCTGATGCACTATAGCTGTCTCGATAAGCCTGGGCTCGTACCACATGCACAATGTCGCAAAATGTGTTTAGAATTTTTGTTTTCTCCTAAAACTACAAGTAGCCAGCAATGCCCCATTTCATAAAGAAATTGAAACGTGTAAAAGCAATTCACACAAGAGAGGGTTTTTTTTGTTTGTTTTTTTTATTTTTTGCGAAAAATACAGGATAATGTAATAAAACAATCACAGTGACGTTTCTTTTTTCGTTTTCAAAGATTGTTCTTCACAATGAAACATGTAAACATGACCAACACATTCAACCTCTCGATTTTAAGTTCCACAAGCGTTGGTTTTGTAAGAAGTCTTTGAACATAAGATCAGTTGTTATCATCGTAGATCTAGGTAATACTTAACGAGTTTGTTATAATTATATAATATTCGCCTGAAATAAAGTAAAACTGAAATGTACCCCTAAGTAATATAAAAAATATAACATTTTCTATTAAGACCCTTATATATTGCAGCCCGATGATGTAAATTAAAAGTACGACTGTTAATTCATCAAAATTGCCAGCATAAAAGCATTAGAAAGCTTGGGACATAACGCCATCTTCAATCTTACATTTCAAAATGTTCTCAATCTCTGTCAGGGGACAACCTACCCAAAACTCATTCCTTCACATATAAGTAAGAAGTACAAGTTGCCGCTCCAATATCCAAAACCACGCAACCCGTGTCATTTTAAGTTGAAGTATGGTTGAATGAAGTGGTCATTCCGCCAGACACAACATATCATGCTCTTTTTTCCTCTGATCGAGTGACTATATTAGTCCTGTGACACATCAAAGCATCATTCTGGTATCAGTGTTTGTTGCCTTAGTACAAACATACTCCGTCAAATTGTCGATGTAACGAATGCCAATAAGTTTTCCAGATAGCTTAATATGCATTACGTTGGCTACAGTGCATGAACACATTAATTTTCTTATTGTCATTACGAAGCTTGACCGTGGCTTGATACCACAAAATCTGGATGGATTTCTTCATGAAACATATCAATTATCTTAAGCAAAGGGGACAATGACTTTGAATAAAATTCAACTTGCTTCCATCTGTCAATAGTCTTGTTCAATACGTTATGTAAGCTCATGCAATGAACCAGTGTAAGGGTTGTTTTTTTATTGAATTTAACTTCGAAACACGTATAGTATGTATGTGTAGGTCATATGGAGAATTTCCAGCTTTACTGGTAGAGGAAAGCCTTAATTGCCCCTCTGTAAATTATTTCAAACAGAAACAGGCACCCGAGTAGAACCACCGACGTTCCATTGAATTTCGCTAGCTGGATATTTTTCACACATGGAGAATCGACAGCGGCGGACGAGAGGCAAGTGGTGTGATGTAATAAACAACCGTAACCACTCGACCACGAATGCCCATGTGTAAGGAAAAGCATGCACTGTTTTCGAAATGGTCAAACTTGGCCAAAACTTGCAGAACAGCAAGAAATGCTAGTTGAAGCAGCAGTATACATGCAGGAAACTGCAAAATCTAGAGATCTAGTAATGATGCTTGCACTTAACACTGGGCAATTCTAGACATCGAGTATCAAAATCTGTTGATTATAAGATAAAAGTGTATGCATTATTTTAACTATATTTTCAATTTCCTTTAAAAATGTAAATAGCACAACAATTAATGTAATTTGCTCATTTTTTCTTTTGTATTTATCATTTTCAGACATTAGCTGATGCATTGTCATTAAGAATATTTTCTGAAATGGATGTATGCTTTGAATAAACCAGAACGAATTTGTTACGACGCATCAAAACATGGATGACACAGTACTTCGGATGGGACTTGAGTACTGAATAAAAACTGAATACTCTACATCGGGCATGCAGAACAACCATGGTTGCCTCTAGAATGGTGCAACTGCTGAAAAATGTTAAACCAATGTAATTGTGCAGAGAATGGAGACAACTGCTGATTAGGGAAGTTGGATGAAGTTGTTATGTCAATTGTCAGATACGTAGGCTTTATTTCTGTAATAAGCTTGTCTTTAATTTTTCAATAAGAAAATGAATGCTTATATGTTTATGATTACATATAATGTGGACATATATTTGCAGTGCATATTTTACATATTCTTCGTAGAAGCATAATTTCATACATACATGTATGTAAAATTTCACTTTAATGTGGTAACAACCTTAATTACAACATACTGGATCTAAAAGCAAAAAGGGAGGTAACTGGGGGAAGAATTGGTAATTTATCATGCATCATTTTACCAAGTTCGTTTAGACACAGTATGAAGCCAGTTGAACTAGAATAATTTTAGATATATCAACTAGCTTACATATGTTCATACACAGAAGTTTGCAATTCTATCTATAGATTATACATTTAGGAAAAATACTATATTTCATTGATAGATTTTCAAATTTTCCAAGGTCCTTTGGCTAATCAATAATTATTTTCTGCCTTTAAAAATAAAAAGGGAGATTATTTGGTAAAATGAATGAAGTTACATAACTGGGGAGGATAAATGCCCCGTTTGTGTAAATGCCATGAAGGTAAACATCATGTTTGAAAAATGTATTTTTCATGCCGAGTATTATACTGAAATTAAATACCAATTTAGGAAATAGATATCAAATTTTAGTGCATTGTTGTAGAACAATGAACAGTTCAAGTTCAAATGGGCAGGAATATAATCACAAAGACTGATAGGCCCAAGCGTTTTATTACATTGCATTAGAATGATTTATCACACACCCGTGCCGATTTTGCGACTCCGTAAAAATGGTATTGCACGGCCGTGCATATATTTTGACGTGACGTCATTACCGTTATACTCGCATAATATTATATGTTATTTTGGTTTTGGAGTGATATATGTGGATACCTGTCAAGATTTTATAAGGCGAGGGTGATATTTTATCTTGGCAGGTAATATATCCCTGCCGTGTTAAGACGATTTTAAAATAAATCATTGCTACTTCAAATGAAACGTCGAAATAAGATTCCCTTTAGGGTACCCCTTCACCACTACATGACGTCACATAAATACACAAGACGTATTTTCTTTCGAACCAAACGAATGTAAACAAGAGAAAAGGAATAGTCTGTTGAACGCACTTTTTTGGAATTAATATCAAGCTTTCACAAGGTCATATTTGTTTTCAATACTCATGAGAATATGTATGATTACTCTATTTTGGTAAATATTTATCATTTGACAGTTAAAAAGTGCTTGTCAATCGGAATTTACATCGCGTAAATCAAACCGTACGCGCATCGCCACAGCGCCTGTTGTTTTGAACGTGGGGTAACAAACGGGTTAATTTAGTGTGTATATTACCCGTCTGGCTCGGTAATATCAATTTCTTTCGGGTGATCAATATCCAATCAAAAGGCGGAAAAAATCTGGAAGGGTAATAAAATTTTATTCAACTCGTTCAATGAATTCAGTAATGAACTTACACTCATTCAATATCCTCCATGTGCATAATTATACTATGCTCAGTACATAGAAGAGAATCAATAAAAGTATATTGAACTGTATTGAGCAAAGAAGTATTTTTCCTGGCGTCATTTTGTTTATTTACGTCATACATGATTTGTAAGCATTCGTTTTTATGCTGTGCATATATCGTGTAATGACTCACTTGATCTCCCTATCTGTTTGGCAGAAGAATAGCTTGTAGCGTGTTAGAATATGATTTGAAACCTTGCTCTTTAAAAATGTGAAATCTGTATATTTGTATAAAATGATCTGTTCATTTCAAATATTTAATGAAAATATGGAAATACTTGGTTGGCAGAAGACTGTAAAAAACAATAAACTGAATATATTCATGAATTTTATTGTAAAATAAACATATAAGAAAATGTACATAGTTTTCTTTCAGTCACTTTAACATACATAATTCTACCATGTCACAATCTATATCTAATATAATCAAACTTTTCATAGGGTGTTAAGACAGTTTTTATACAAGATAAAATAAATGGTGCAGCAAAAAACTACATCAGTGTAAACTATTGATAAAGACAATTTCATTTTTTTATATCTAATTAATTGTTTCATATCTAACTTTCACAAATGGATTTAAAAAAAAACTGGGCACCTAAAACTGTTCTTTTCATCCATTTCAACACATTTTGAGATACCTCAACTTACTAACAAATCAAGAATTCACACAAAAAAACGCAAACAAACTTGTGTGTGGACAGACTAGCCACGCTACCTATGAATCTCTTTATAGAAGTGACAATCTTACTTTAATATTCTCTCTTGTAAGCTATTCAATGTTAAAATATTGCCACTACTTCTTAACCTTTTCTAGAAAAAAATACCTGTAATTAAAGAAATTGGTTCACAAATTGTTATTTTTTTTTACAGGCAATTTACATAACGTGTACATATACTTTCTTTTGCCCATAGGTGTATTATCATAGATAATATAGTCTATACATTTCAGATTGTAACACAAACTTCAACTATTCAGAACAAAAATTTATGAAAAAAGCACTCAACAGACTGTTAAACATATATAAAACTTCACATAACCTGAAAATAATTAATGAAAAAGCACTTAACAAAAGTAAAATTCTAAAATTTTCTTAACCGAATCACACACAATTTATAACATTCAATTATTGCATCATTGCAATTTTTTAAAGAGACACTAAAAATAGACAAAATAACTATAAAACAGATCTGTAAAGATAACATAATGCAGACTACTATAATAAAAGTATATATAACAATTTTTAAAGCTATAAAAGACTAGATTGTAGAGATTGCTGTAAATAAACATATTAAATATTGCACATGAAAGAAAATAACAAATTTATTGTATGGTTTGGTCCTTTCTAAAACAAAAGGTTAATATAGTATGTCATGGTAATAAAGCATCATAACTGTTCCCCCGAAGGGGATCTGGCCTCAAGGTTTAAAAACTTTTTTTCAGAGTTCTGTCTCAAATATCAGGATTTCATTGGTCAGTGTACATTTTGTGGCAGTTTCTGACCAATAAAATACCGGAGATCTGAGTTTTAGCCTAGAGAATTTGTTTATAACCTTGGACCACAGGTTCCATGCATCTCTGAATGACCCTTGAATCCCTATCTGTTACTGTTGTAAATTCACAATACTCAATCGCTTTTCTAAAAATTTACAAATAATTCAAAAGGGGTTTCACCGACTAGTTTGACATGGTTTAGTCTCAATCGAAAAATGTAAATTTATCTGCTTCATATCTGCTAAAAATTCTAAATATTAACAATAGATGTGCAAGAGAGACTGCACACATGACAACTGATTTTCATAAACTGCAGAAAACTTCTGCAGAAAATCTTTTAGTTCACATGACAGAGTAATTCAGTGATTTTTTAGGCTAGAGTTGTGGATCTTGACTACGTATCTGACCAAGATAACATGATAAAAGTTCATATGTTCAGTGGTTGAACAGGTAAATATTGCATGCAAATCCTAAAAAAAAACAAGATATGTTTGTAAAACATGTATGCCCCCTATCAGCAGCCAATTAGTCATGTGATAAGGTTATTATGACTTCTGACCCAGTGATCAAACAATTAATAAGGGTTATCAAGTATCTACTGGTCATGACCTTAACCTTTGACCCCTTGACCCAAATCTCAATAGGGGTCATCTGCTGGTCACGACCAATCATCATACAAAGTTTGAAGTTCCTAGGCCTAAGCGTTTTTAGTTAATTGATCGGAAACCGTTTTAACATACAAGGTCAATGTGACCTTGACCTTTGACCCCTTGACCCCAAAATCAATAGGTCATCTGCTGGTCATGACCAATCATCATACCATGTTTGAAGTTCCTAGGCCAAAGGGTTCTTAAGTTATTGATTTGAAAGCATTTTTACCTACAAGGTCAAAGTGACCTTGCCCTTTGACCCCTTAACCCCAATATCAATAGGGGTCATCTACTGGTCATGACCAATAATCATACCAAGTTTGAAGTTCCAAGGCCTAAGGGTTCTTTAGTTATTGATCGGAAACCGTTTTTACCTAAGAGGTCAATGTGACCTTGACCTTTGACCCCTTGACCCCAAAATCAATAGGGGTCATCTACTGATCATGACCAATCACCATATCAAGTTTGAAAACCCTAGGCCTAAGGGTTCTTTCGTTATTGATCGGAAACCGTTTTTACCTAAGAGGTCAATTTGACCTTGACCTTTGACCCCAAAATCAATAGGGGTCATCTACTGATCATGACCAATCACCATACCAAGTTTGAAGTCCCTAGGCCTAAGGGTTCTTACGTTATTGATCGGAAACCGTTTTTACCTAAAAAGTCAATTTGACCTTGACCTTTGACCCCTTAACCCCAAAATCAATAGGGGTCATCTGCTGGTCATGACCAATCACCATACCAAGTTTGAAGTTCCTAGGCCTAAGGGTTCTTTCGTTATTGATCGGAAATCGTTTTTACCTACAAGGTCAATGTGACCTTGACCTTTGACCCCTTAACCCCAAAATCAATAGGGGTCATCTGCTGGTCATTACCAATCACCATACCAAGTTTGAAGTTCCTAGGCCTAAGGGTTCTTTTGTTATTGATCAGAAACCGTTTTTACCCAAGAGGTCAATGTGACCTTGACCTTTGACCCCTTGACCCTAAAATCAATAGGGGTCATCTACTGATCATGACCAATCACCATACCAAGTTTGAAGTTCCTAGGCCTTAAAGTTCTTTAGTTATTGATCGGAAACCGTTATTGCTTACAAGGTCAATGTGACCTTGACCTTTGACCCCTTGACCCCAAAATCAATAGGGGTCATCTACTGATCATGACCAATCACCATACCAAGTTTGAAGTTCCTAGGCCTTAAAGATCTTTAGTTATTGATCGGAAACCGTTTTTGCTTACAAGGTCAATGTGACCTTGACCTTTGACCCCTTGACCCCAAAATCAATAGGGATCATCTACTGATCATGACCAATCACCATATCAAGTTTGAAGTTCCTAGGCCTTAAGGTTCTTTAGTTATTGATCGGAAACCGTTTTTGCTTACAAGGTCAATGTGACCTTGACCTTTGACCCCTTGACCCCAAAATCAATAGGGATCATCTACTGATCATGACCAATCACCATATCAAGTTTGAAGTTCCTAGGCCTTAAGGTTCTTTAGTTATTGATCGGAAACCGTTTTTGCTTACAAGGTCAATGTGACCTTGACCTTTGACCCCTTGACCCCAAAATCAATAGGGGTCATCTACTGGTCATGACCAATCACCATACCAAGTTTGAAGTTCCTAGGCCTAAGGGTTCTTTAGTTATCACTCGGAAACCATTTGGTCTACGGACCGACGGACCGACAAGTGCAAAGCAATATACCCCCTTTTCTTCGAAATGGGGGCATAAAAAAGAATATCAGAAAGTGAAGTTATAGAGTAACAATACACGAGTTATGTAACCATAGTGATGGTGATATAGAGTAAACAAACAGAATTATATAACACAAAAATATTGCACATGATACATAAAAGATGTCTTTGAAATTAAAATAGAAATATATAATAAATACATATAAAAGCACATGCATACATGTATATAAAAGAGACATTTTTTTTTCAATAATGGACTAGTAGATCATTTCATAAGCTTAAAAATTACATTGTTTTTTTTAAACATTATGTTAAAACAGTCATTAACAATACAATCTTAATTCTTAAGGGATAAATGGTCCCAAATACTTCATACTAATTCATAAAAACATAACAAGAAACGTTCTAAAATATCAGTAGAACAACTTAAAATTGTAGGCATTTCGCATATTTTACCACTCTCAAGTGTATTCTACCCTTCTTAATTTATTTAAACAAAAACTGTCAACTCATTTAACCTCCAATAAATATAAAGAAGAGTTGCTTGATGGTAAATATCAGCTAAATATTAATTCACCTAATCAAAGTTTGAACACAACTATGCAATAATATTTACTATTCTAAATTCTACACTGACCTTCATATGACTTACTTTATCAGAGGCCTACATAGTAGATCAACAAAAAAAAGTACCCCACTTCCAACCTCAAAGAAATTCATATCTCAAACAGCTTACTGAATCAGAAAATTATTCTCAAAATTTCCTTTAACCTCTATTTAACATAATGTTTGGATTAATAAACATCTTCACCAAAGTTTGTGTCCATTACCTTTATATAACCAAATCTTTTCTTCTTCTTCTTCTTCAAAAATCATCATATAAACAACAAACATGATTTGTTCATAAGAATAACAATGAAAACAACAACAACAAGATTTTATAATTGCTAAGTGAAACTATAATCAACAATTCGTATTTCTTCAGTTGCTCTTGTGTCTGCATATATTTGCCATTTGTTGTGTCTATGCATTAGGTAAAAGTTCAGAATTTTTTTATGCCCAAACCTGAATATATAAGAAATGATTATATAAGTAATAAGGTTAAAGGGTCAGGTCAAATAGAAAATGACAATTTTCTAAACTAAATCAATGAGAGCAATTAATTAATTCTACATGAGCTAAGAGTAAGAGAATGTTCATAGTTGATCTATTTAGATAGTTTGTTTTGATAGTAATATGTCGAAAAAAAATTCATGTTATATTAACACAAAAGTGATAATATCATAAACCGATCATTTAATTAACTATTCTCAATTTCAATATCAAACATCCAATATACGATGCTCATTTTTTTACATATATACAAATGCTGACAGTTTCTAAATGTCTTAAATCTGCTGGCAGCAACTGAATCTACCCATGTGACTTGTTCAGACCCAGATCAGCTGACACATCAGTGCCATCCAATCATGTCCTGCACTATTGGCTATTCAGTCAGTCAATATTTAAAAATTTTTAACACAAATTAGGAATGGTTTTGTCCAGAATAAAAGTCTATCTAAGATATTTAGCATAGCAATGGTTTAAAAGAATCTATAAAAACTTAAGTTAAACATATTTATACTGTGACTCAAGAGCTTATTTAACCACCCTCAAGTCCATTTCTTGGGACTTAAGTTAACAGTACTAGTGCTATTTGAAGGGAAAATATCTTGACCACTGTAGGGCTTGAACCCATGATCCCTGGATTAAGAAAGAGACACCTAAAACACTACATGATATCTCTCAGACAAAGAATTCTTATATAAAATAGAACTTTTCAAAAATGTCAGAGAGATGACCATTTCAGAAATTATAAAACTTACCTTAAGTGTGTTATCCCAGCTACCAGAACACAGGGCTGTACCGTCTGGTGATACACCTAGACAACTAACACGGTTTTCGTGGGCATATAGCTTAGTGACACGATTTCCCTTCAACACATCCCATACATTCACAGTGTGATCATTATAACCACCAAACAGAAGACGACCTAGCAAAATATCAATGTATACATGTACAAGAGCTGTAAGTAGGACATGTCAGAAAAGCCTTATTTTCAGCCTTAGTATATTTAAAATTTATTTATCTATTAATTTACAGGGTTTTAAGTCACACAAACATTGTAAAGATCATATGGTGACTGACATACCAGCTTTACTGGTAAAAGAGGATGCCATATGCTTAATAAAGCACTATTTTTTAGATATAATCGGGCACCCAAGTAAAACCACGAACATTCCAAAACCTAACTGGATAATTTCCTTACATGAAAAAAAATGCAAATTCCTTCCCAAAATGAAAGATTCCAAGTCCTAATGGGATTTTAACATGTAGCCATAAGGGGCAAGTGACCTGGACCGAGTCCAAATATATATTAATCAATAACATGGAGGGGCTATGAAAAAAGTCAAAGAAAGACAAGGCAGGCTAAAAGTAGCTATATGGTCCATAAAAAATTTTGAAGCTGAAAATATATATAACTAACCACTAATAGAAAAGTCAACGGAGTTACATCCAAATATTATGCTATCCTTCTTATAACAATTGGCCTCTCTGTCAGCCCGCAGATCAAACAAACGACACTGAAATATATTTATATTCTATTAATAAACAAAAAGTTTGACATTTGCTAAAGAACTTATTTTTATAAACATTTAAGTTGCACTAGAGATCTAGGATTTAATTGTAACTTTTAATTATTTTCTGCTATATTACAAAAAATATTCTTAAACATAATCAAAAGCACTAATTGACCAAATAGAGATCATGTGTCAGCCATTTTGAAAACATTTTGATATTTCACCAGATATCTTTGAGTAAATGGATTTATACTTTTGTTTTTCATATTCAGGTTAAAAATCAGTCGCAGGGTCTAATGAAATAACCTACCTATATAACTTTTTCAATACAATTTATTTTTCAACATACAAAAACAATTAAAATCTGACAACTGTTTAATGTATAATTCTAACAGAATTTCGTTTACAATACATACACACAGTTTGACGTGTTTCGGATAAAACTCATTTGTTCAAATTTTTTTAAAAACAAAGGATATCTTTGAGCAATTTAAACATTACTAAGATGGAAATAATTATGCTTTTACAGTGAGAATAACGATGAATGTAATTAGTAATATTGACAATTCATTTTACCATATACATAAACTCTTTCAATGTTAATAACTACAATATTAAATATATTCAATGGTTAATAAAATTCTCCAAAAATAGTAATACTTAATAGAGATGACCAAGGGGAACAACTTATATCAAGAAATATTTCCTACAGTTTATGATTAGCCTCCCTTGTATTAAAAAGACCTAAAAAGATGGCTACAATAAACATTCTTATCTCTTAAAGGAAGATTAACATATGAACTTGTAACAATCATAAAACATTAGTGGCAAAATTAAATATTATTTGCCTTCCACTTATTTTCTCTAATGCGGTAAAAATAATAGAAAATCTTAACCTGAACAGCCTTATGGGTATTATACATGTATAACAATTTGATGATATGAAAAACTAACATATTTTTGGTCATATTTAGAGAGCTGATCCATCTTACAGACTTCTCTTGGTAACTTACCAGGTATGTTCAATTTCTCTGCATGTGACTGACTTCTTATCACACATGATTTTTTTTTAATCAAAGGTGATAGACTAATGACCATTAGCCTTTATGTCCGAGATAAATTGTTAGCGAAATTTCACCTTGCCTTAGGATCAAACAAGCGACCCTGGATTACTTATCTGATGCTCTTCCTACAAAACAAGAGCCTAAACGAACAAACATAACAACAAAGCAAACAGGAAAACTTACAGTTGCATCATCTGAGCCTGTAGCAAAGGCATCTCCGCTCGGATAAAACCTGACATTGTTGATGTCAGACTCGTGCCCTTCAAACACCTGTACACACTCGCCAAATCTCATGTCCCATACCATTGCTGTTTTATCACATCCCTATAATATTACATAACCAAACTGAGAATAATGTATTATGAAATCTCTAGTCTAAACATACTTTACAGTGCTTTACTGACATTTTTATTATATAATTTAACTATATAAATTCACAACTTAATATAATTTTCAAATTAGCAACCCAGGAGTTTTTCCAAAAGGAGAGGAGCCCATCTCAATATATTTTAACACATTTATGTTAGCTTAGTTGTGATGCATGAAGCTTACATTAACCACTCTCAAGTTGGCCTCCTGTAACTAACCAGTACTGGTGTCACAGTCATGACAAAAAAGGGCTCGAAGCTTACAGGGCAGACACTTTCACCACTAGGCCACTGGTCCCGTTCAATAAAGATTTAACATAAAAGTCATTCTGCTTACACCAGATACAAATAGATTTCCTGTTTCAGATGGGGAAAGATCAATACTCATGACATCTCCTGCATGCCCATGGAAGCTCTGTATCAGTTGACCACTTTCAACATCCCATAATGCACATGTACTGTCACCACTTCCTGTCAATATCTATAAATAGATTGTCTTCAACTATCAATAGAATTGATCTAGCAAGAAAAATGTACAATCATAATCTATTTCGAAAATATTTTTATTCTTCTCAAGATTAGAGTGATTTGTACATTAAAATTTATTATAAGTACTGAATCTGTTAGTTTGGTATGTTTTAACACTGTTTTTAACACACTCTCGTCTCTGGTCACATCTTGGCAACTGACAAATTTTAATCTATCTTACAAAATCAACCAACGATTCATTAACTCAATGTTTAAAACTATTTGTATTTTGACCAGATATTATTTAAAATGTTTCTGTTATCATATGCCTTTAATATTACCTGGTTATCAGAACTTGTAAATGAACAACAGGACAGGTAGCTGGTATGTGTGGCTACTGCTTTCTTCTTACTGGAAATATCTGTCTCCTCAAAACTTAGTGGGTAGATGGTACATTTATTGTCCAAACCTCTGTTATAATTGGAAATTATATGTTTATTTTTCTAATACAAATTATGAAATACCTCATTTTCTTCAAACCAAAATGTAGATAATTACTTATTATCTTGCCTTAACTTGTCTAAAAAGACAAAGTATATTGCAAGCCTTAGTGTTCTCAGTGTATGAAGAAAAATATTTTCAAAAACTTTTTACAATATTAAACATATGTGCATTGTATCAATACATTAACAGTTTCTATTGAAACCTAAAGATATTTTATATAAAATTCAATTAATGCTTAGGTTTTAAGAAATTTGATTTTTAAGGTAAAACAGAATTTAAGTGTACATTTTAGCTCAAATTCCCATCATGACTGAATTATTTTTTTGAGATTCTGGCACATTCATGTTTGACTTGGACGCAATGTTAAAATAGCTTCCTGCAAAGGCAGCCCCTGTAGTTTCGTTATCAAAATATAACAATAAAAGTGACATCGCACTAGTAAGTGGAAAGCATGACAAAATTGTGTCTTTATACATGAAACAAATAAAGAAACATAAAATTACCAAATTAGACTTGTACTTTTATGCAAGGGTAATGCTAATGTATCTTTGGTAGTGTATTAACATCGGACTCTGCATAAGCAAGAGAGCCCATATAAATGCTTCCACAAATATAAACTTTAAATGAATCCTTGTGCTTCTACAGATATAACCCTCTATTATTGACCTTTAACCTGCAAGAACCTAAAGTGATTAGCTTTTGCCATCAGTACAGAGCTAGACCAATCTGTACCATGTCAACCTTACAACATGACTAGCCTCTACTTCTGATACTTCAAGATTTATATAACTTACCCACATGCAACACAATTTCCAGATGGTCCATATGCACAGGCCATAACCCAGGTGGTTGGCATCGTAACCGCATGCTCCTAATATATACATCAAACGTGACAAAGCATTATTTCATTTTAAATATCAGATACTTGTTAATACAATATTTCATCATTTTTTAGCAGTACAATGTACTCTATTTAGTTACTATATTTTTTTATATACCAAAGAATAAATACAATACAGGTAAGTTAGGTAACAGTGTAAACACCTTCATGCAGACAAATATTTCTTATAACTTAATCTGTATCTTACAAGATTATTTTTTATTCACTTATTCAATACTTCAGAACTTAACAAGATGTTATCTTATATCTTCATTCCACCTATAAACTAATCTTTGATCACATGAATCTTTAAGTCATAGTGATTAGTAAAGTCAAAGGACATGTTAATATGATTACACATGTGTACAAGCCAATAAAACTTGCCTTGTTAGTGGTAAAAGCATCCCATACAAGCATCTTTCCATCCTGAAATTTTCAGTAAGATTATTTTTCTATAAATTCAAATAAATATCATAATTTGGTAAGTGGTAATTTTTCATTAAAAGAATACTTGTATAATCCGACAAATTATGAATCCAAGGTCTTGCTTTTAATCTCTACCTACATGTATGCCACGTAATCATACCACATACATGTATTTAAAATAAAGAGGTGTTTCTTGGAATGAACCATAAAAGTTAAAAGTGTTAAGGATATGACACACTTATTGTACTAATTTCTTCCTAGACTTATGAAATGATTGTTTCTGAAATAACCTCAAATATAGTACATCATCCAGTTTGTTAACGACAAAAACCGATCAGTGGGTCACAGACTACAACTGTTAACAAATAAAGAGAGAAACTATTTAAGTGGCTGAAAAGCTCAGTCTGTAGAGCCCTTAGAATTCTTTTCTGATGGTCAGGGGTTCAAGTCTTGGTCAGGCTGCACATTTCGAACACACACTGACAGTGGAAGTTAATTAACTTTGAAGGAAAGCATGTGAAATAAAGAAGTTTTAATATCATAATACCAGAAGAATATTCACAATGCAGTGTTATACATTACCTGAGAAGAGCTAACTATGTGTCTTTTATCAGTTGACCAGTCCATACAGAGTACCTTGCCTTGATGACCCTTCAGATGGCGCCTCTGTTTCATACTGAAGTTGGTAATAGGATCCACCTTACTTGCAGCTTTAAACACTGAAATGAAATAAAATAAAAAATCTTCACTATCAAGAGTCATCAAGATCAAAATTTTTTATTTAAGAAATAATATATCCCAAACTGTGATTTTATTGCTCAATAACATCACTGTTTGGAGTTCGGATGCGAGGAATTATATCACGAGGGCGTAGCCCGAGTGATATAATGATGCGCATCCGAACGACAAACAGTGATTTTATCAAGCAATAAAATCACCGATTTGGATATATTATTTCGATTCTAACACGACATCAACAAATAAATGCTGCCGTACCTGATATTAAGCTAAATTGCGCCTGATTTGTTTCCGTACTTATTGTCAGCGCGTCACATTTTTAGTGGTTACGTCACGTGTATAATGATTACGTCACATGTCTAAATATAGAACGTCAAACAGTGATTTTATAGCATAATAACACACACTTTCGGTTCTTCTATGTTCAATAGGGAAAAATGCGAGTCGTGTTAGAATTAATTTTAACATACTTCACACTGTTACATGGTCTATCCCACACTAGGTGATAACTGATAAAATCACAATTTAGATCTTCTACCATGTGATCGAACCCCACCCATTGTATCAATGACAATCATCAATTTTAACAGTAAAACATATACATGTATATTAACTAGGGCTTGTAAGATTATAAACATGTTATTGTTGGAATTGTCCAGTCACATGGATTCACAGAAGCTTCCCCTTACTCATGAATATTTATTAGATCTTGTTGGATGTTTGTTGCTTGACAATCATTGCAGAAATAATAGACATATTAAAGTGTAATCATTTTTACCTATCTGGAACACATTTTTGTTGAAAGATTGCAGGAGATAAAAACAATGTGAATTCTGTTAATTATCAACTGACAATCGCACGCACAGGCATAGGGAAATGGTACAAAAAAATTATAAAAATTGAGAAAAATGGCTTCAATGAAATATTTAATTTTACTGTACATGTTCTCAAACATGGCATCACCCACTAAGTTTGAAATCTTTCTGAGAATGGTGACGGCTCAGATAAACATGATTTACCTTATACAGAGTACTAGGTGACCTTGACATTTGTTTTCATGACAAGCACTTCTTCTAGAAATTACTTGCCCTGACCTAAAGGCTAAAGCAGTAAAGGTTCCTTGCCATCACCAGACAAAGTAATGCAAACAACCATATCAGGCCTCGAAGAATTTTTCTAGGCAAGGGGCCCTACAAATTAACTTGCCTTTACAAATGTAATTGCCCTGCATTTTGACGAACAAAGAAATCAACCTCATGGGGGCAGCACGAAATACCCAAATATACCCAAATATACTAAAAATAAATGTTTTATACTTAAAAAGTTTTGTTTTAATTACACTTTTACTCAGTTAAAATCAAACACTCCCAAATATACATTTTCCTATCATTGTGTTTTGAACCAAAATATACCCAAATATAGTATACTCCATTAAAGTTTGTTTTTTTAAAAATAATACAATGGACACTTATATGAAATTTCAACAAAATTATACTCTAAAAATTTAAATGTAGACAAATATTATCATATCTTTACCTTAAATTGCAAGTTAATGAACATAGCTAGATAAGCAAATGTCACACATTTATTCTCTTCAACATCTGAACTGCCCATTTCAACGGAATGAATGAAAGTTATAGCCGACTAAGTCATATTATTTTATAAATATTAATTCATTTTCTGGTTATAATCTGCATTTTAAACAAACAAAAATGAACATTGCTATATTTGGGTATTTCATGCCGCCGCCTCATGGCTAAGTATAAAACTTAAATGAATGCATTATGCGTATATATAAAACATTGTCGAATGCTGATGTTGTTACTGAAAGGGGAGGCGTAAATAGATTATCATAAGCATTTGCTAAAGTTTTATACTTAGTCATGAGTTTGATTTCCACATTTCCTTTGACTGGTATAACTACTGAAATGGCATATGCAGTTAAGATTGTTTTACAGAATAACTTCATTTGTAAATATTTAATGAAACATCATTTGGATCGGGAGAATCCAACTTGACCCATGGGGTGAGTTTGATAAAATATTTTCTCGCACTACGAAACTTTCACTTGCAAATTAGATTCGTCAATTTACCGGTAAAGAGTCAACTCGGCTTTATACCAAATCGGCACAGGTCAACTCGGCCCACTTTGAAAAAAAAAAACATATTAAACGTATAAGCCTTTTCTGGTTATGATATCATGTTATCAAGGAAAGCTGTTTTAAATGAAAACAAGAGATATCTGGTATATTATTATATAATTGTACATTGTATTTCTGCAGAATAAATGTATATTTAGAAATTTTTTTTTTTTTTTTTGCAGATTCGTTAAAAATTACTATAATACAAATGTGTTCCCTTTTATGCTTTTTGTTTGAAATCTTCAATAAAATGTGAGAAAAAAACTTGTTTACTCAAATATAAAATATTTTAAATGTTTGTTCTTTATTTTACATACTGGGCAGGAACCAGTTTTCAGACAGAATTCGAGTTTTTTTAATTGTCTTTTTTTTAATAATAAACATGCATTAATAAAACTTACATCCCAAAAACCAGAGCTCTAACTACGTCTGATAACACAATTAATACTGCCTGGTGACGTAAGCAATTGTACAAACTGATGGGTTAAATTAGGTCATCAAAAGTGTAAATTGTTCACTCTTGCAGAACCAGTTTCCGGACATATATATTAAGCTGCTATTCATATTCTGTTTTTAACTGATAATTATTCTAATATAACAAAAAATTTCTTCTCACATATTAGCTTTCTTATATAATTAACCTGATTTACTGAAAAATGTTTATGATAGGAAAAATAACGATCACGTGATGGGTCTCTGAATGACTGAAAAGTGAAACGGATATTTTTGAGTGTACGGCAGCAACGAAGTGTAAAAGTGGAGTAAACCTAGCTAAACACCGTTTTCCGATACGTAACAGATTTAGATCTGGGGATTACACCCAATGAACTTCGAATGAAGTACATTGTGCATTAATTGCTACTCCAAATTATATCCCCAAATAAACAAAATATTGCGCATGCGCAGAAAAAATTACATGCCCCAAAGGGATATAAGGCTGTTTTTAAAACACAGGTAAGATCTATATCCTCACGAAATTTTAATGATTCATCAACTCGGAAGGAAGTTTATTTTCACAAAAAATGAATCCAAGCATCTTCATGACATATAATGCTGATCGTCATCGATAAAGCCAAAATTAAGCCGTTATAATACTTGTCCGGAAACTGGTTCCTACCCAGTACATAAAACAACATATTATGCATTTATGATTTATTAACATGCAATGTATTTTGGGAATTTTTGCTATGTCCCAAGGATGGATTGTAATAAGTTTTTATTACCCAAATCATCAAAACACTTTCATTACCAAAAAGTTTACTAGAACTAATTTAAGAAAACATCTTTACACGTTTATGAATAATTCCAGATATTTATTATGTGGTTCCAACAAAAACAAACCAAAATTTTGATAAATTAAAAAGTGGGCCGAGCTGATAATAGAAAATTGGAAAGCTAGAAAATTGCTTTGAAAGCTAGCAAATCATTGCTTTGTAATTCAATGCCTATCATTTTAAACAATAAAATCATAAAAAAATCCAGCTTTTTAGTGCCCTACCAGCTTGGAAAGTATACTGTTAGTGCTCAGACACTATTTTTTGTAAACAACATCAGGCAGAAGATTTGATGCCAATTATCAAACATTATTGTACAATTTTAAGAAAAACAAATTGTATAAGTTACTTTCGACATCTTTCAATTTTGCTTTTTCCTCTTCTAAACGCTTTTTTAGCTCCTCAGCTTCGCGCTGCAAAGTTTCAATTGAATCTTGAGTGTCAACCTTCAGCGCTTCGGTCGCCATCTTGAATAAACAATTTCCTACTTCCGCCAAAAACCATTGATAAAATCTGTTCTGCCACGTATCGTATAACTCTCTTAACCGACGGACTCCGGACTTCGGTGTCTAAAGACCCGTGGGTAGCGCATGTACATGTATATATATTTTACTTCTTATTTAAGGTGAATGTTAGCGAGTCAATAATTTAAGATGTTGATTCCATCAATCTTGTTAAAGCAGAATATTTAAAATAGTCCTTCAAATGACAATCGTCTCATCTTTTTCACAGACACTTGGGGTGTGGAGCTCAAAACGCCTTTAAAATCCAAATAAAATGCATATTTGTCAATCCCAGCACATGTACTGATCATATATATAGAGGATATTGAATGAGTGTAAGTTCAATACTGAATTTATTGCACGAGTTGAATAATAAGAGGATATTTTTTCGTTTGAGTGAAATATGGAATATATTTTCACGAAACATGATAAAATGCCACATTTTTTCACGAGCCGGGACGGCGAGTGAAAATATGAAGCATTTTATCATGTTGAGTGAAAATATATACCATATTTCACGAAAAACGAAAAAATAACCTTTTTATTTAATTTCATTATCAAAGAAAAATGGTTATGAACCCCCTTGCCTGCTACGCAACTGCAATTATACAGCGCGCAGCAATATAAGTATCGTCTTGTTTTGCACGCGATATTTAGCGCTAGATTTTGACGTCACGTAAACAACTTTTTAAACGTCTGTACAGCGTTAATGACTGAATTAAAGATATTGGTGTTCGGATTTATTTTCTTAGTTAGACCATTTTCTATCATTCTAGATAGTTTTCAAAACAAAATTCAACAAAAAAGTTGTTTGTATTTATCAGAATTTTCAAACAAAATGGCGAAAGAAGTCCCTTAAAATAAATATGAGTTTTGACTCCGCCCACTTTCATATTTATATGTCATATTTATTTTTAAATTTTTGATGCTTTGTTTGGTGCACTTATCTCTTTTATCATGAATTGGAATTGTTCGTATTTGTTCGTTTTTCCGCTAAAGTGGGCGTGACGTTAATTGTAAAATTACGACGTCACGTCCGTTGATATTATTATTATTTATTTACCTTGAAAAAGGCATACATTTGCCGAAACGTTGGAAAAATAAAAAATGATATTATACGTGTTATTGCTGTGACTTTATTATTTTAATATTTATTTTTAAAAAATATGAAATATATTTGACTGATATAGCACCATATTTCATGGGTAAAATTAAATAAAATTATATTATGCGAGCCTCTGGCGAGCATAATATTGTTTTATTCAACGAGTGCAATAAATTATGTAATGTAATTACACGAATTTAATATTCTATTTATCACATTCCCAAAATAAAGACCATTTATTATATACTTATAAATGAAATATTGAGAAATATTGATGAAATAAAATGTGTATTTTCAGTTTCCGTATTTTCACTGAAAAAATTTATTTTTCACTGCAGTGAAACATATTTTCCGTATTTTCACTGGTGTCTTGCCGGACTACTTTCTTTTAAATTCTGCCAGTACACAAAATTTAAGGGAAAGTCTTTCAAATTTTAATGTTAAAAATGAGAAAAATGTATATAATAAACAGAAAATTCAAGTTTTTTCCATAAATACATGATGTATTTTCATCTTGTGGCATGAAAATTACCATATTTCACTCGTGGCTACCGCCACTCATGAAATATTTATTTTCATACCACTCGATGAAAATAAATCATGTATTTATAGAAAAAACTTGAATATCCTCTATTTATTTAAGTGAAATAAGAGTCATTTTTCATTGACGCGCCTATAGTATAACGCTAACATTTAGCGCGTCTTTACACTATGTTTGTATAACGCTTATGACGTCACGTCAAAATATATGCACGGCCGTGCAATACCATATTTACGGAGTCGCAAAATCGGCACGGGTGTGTGATAAAGTGTTATATTTGCTTTTAATCAATTTATATTATCTTATCCATATGTATATGTGCTTATAAATCTAATTTGTTTTACAGAGTCACTCATAAATGTACTTTGATCTTCTTAATCCTTATATCTATTTTCTTTTATACAGATTGTTTGTTTGTATTGTTAAAGGATAGTCAGTTATGTCGGAAAATAGCTTATATAGCTAATGTTTATATGTTTTATGTAACCGACTATAAATAAAGATTATCTTATCTTATCTTATCGTATCTTATCTTATCTTATCTTATCTTACAATATTTAAATATTTGTATCATAATGATCATTTCTCAATCTTTGGTGATCCAACGATTCTTTCAGTAAGGGTACACAATTTTGTTGCTCGTTATTGCACAAAGCTATATTTAATTTATTTCCAGCTCGTATGTAAACATCATAATTCTTTGATAAATACCGTTACATAGGCATGTAACAAGGTATACAATTCTTGGTCACTAAATGTTCGGATTGGGTTGCTTCCCTTAGTCCAGTATGGGATTGAAAGTTTTATCGATCTGGGAATTTCATAGAATTAGATGTCACACGAAATTTTAGTTTGTAGCAATCAAACAAGTAGTTGTTAGATCTTATGATAAGCACGGAACTTTTTGGAAATCAGGTTAGGAAAGGATTAAATTGCTCTCTAGAAAGTTTATTTAATAAGAAATACCAAAATTGACGAAAGTGTGCCATACATATTATATACACGTATAGACAGCTTCATTTGTTAGATAAAATAAAACTTTCAGTGTAACATGAAAAAATACGTGATAATCACAAATATTTATTGATAACTTACTATACACATCAACATAATAGTTCATTGTCCTATTACAGTATTTTGTGTAAAATTTCTAATGGTGTACTTTTTCAAAAAAGCAACGATTCAACGAAGTATAATGCGATTATAGAACTATTGTTAATTTTTCGGAAAATTCACATCTGAAATTCTGAAAACTGCTGATTATCATAGGTTGTTCTGTGTACATAGCAAAACGAACTCAGAATCTGATGTTATCAACTGTAAATTGTCCCATTTTCATATATAATGTATCTAAATGTTGAATTCTACGTAAGCCGGTGCTGGTGGGGGCATGGTGATGGCGGTGGTGGGTATGGTCGTGGACGATAACCTGCGTTATCAACACTTACCGCTTTCGATATACAGACTAGCTTAATCAAAATGAGTCTGCAACATTTTTTATATTTCCGTATTGAATGACTCGTTACCACTTTTACAGTTTTCAATTCATGTACGAGGGTGCTTGGCTTTGAATTATATTGTCTCAATCATCATCAGATTTTGTTTTTCTTCTACAAACAGATTGATATTCGGACAAAATAACGTGCGTACGAAGAAACAGGCAAACGAACGAATAAACGGACAATCAAAGAAACATGAAAAACAAACAAAGCTATCAGGGACAAATGCAGATATATCGATATAACCGATACATCGATACAAATATAATATAAATTCTGTATATAGCCTTTAAAATACATCGATTATTCCTACTACATATAATAGAAATAATACATATTCGTCATCATATAAAATTAGGGAAAAAACACACATTCATTTAGAAAAAGTCAATAACGTAATTGAAAATTGTCAAAGTAATACTCTCTAATTTTCATGATTAAATGGGTAATATATGTATGAATACAAGCTTTAACACATGGATTTAATTCTTACATGAAAATTACATTAAATCATGGGGAAAGTTTATTTACAACTGATTTCAGTCTTTTGTATTGAGATCCTCTATCTCAAAGAATTGATCTCTCTTGTCTAAATAAATAGTGCGCCAATCCATTTTAATTGATTGACAATTTGAATTAGTTGCTTCATGAATATGCGTACTTCGCTCGTTCGAATTCAAAGCTATTTGCAATAACTTCTCTTTCAAATCTACGCCATTATGTGTTCATTTGTTATTTGTCACAAGATAATCTTATGGTTATTTATCAAGCAACTCCTGAGAATAATCTTATAACGTTGGTAATGGAAAGAAGTGGTAGGATTATGTATTACTGCATTACTTTCACTTTTCGACAGGTTTGCATTAAATTATTGAAGACCATTTACCAATCATTTTCGTTGAAATGTGCTTTTTTAATTTCTCGCACATGCGAATTCTACGCAAGCTAATGAAAACACTTAATATATACCTAAATGACACTTTGCTACAAGCATACGGTGATTGTTTGAATATTATTTCCTGTATTGCATTTACTATTAAATGCCATAAACAAGGTCATGAACAACTGTAATAAAACAGTTGTACTATTTCGTTCACCATTTGTTTTAACTTATCTATGAGTCACACAAAATTATCTACCCTCATCCTATAATTCTATTTTGTTTGGCGTTGCAATGAAATTGATGTCAGGTCTATTGTTTTGCTGCACGAAATCGCCAAAGAGTCGTTTCAGCATTCACTTAAATGCATGAATGTGAAACACAAACATTCATTTTCGCAGAGTACCACACAAAACATAATCGAAAACTTGAAAAGCATTATCAAAGTTCAATTTCAAAATGTACCCCATGTTGATTACGTCTGTTATATAAACATATACATGTATTAATGTTTGAAATCGACCGTACAATGATTTACACATTTACTGCATTGCCTAACATCGGAACGAAAACAGCTTTGGAAAAAAAGCAATGCTTAAAACACTGTTCTAAACTTCGGCGACACAAATAATCTATGCATCTAGACTGAAATTGATAAAAACTAGTTCACCTTTTGTAATGGAAAAATGATATATTGTCAGAAAACAAGGCACTGTGTGTAAGTAATTACAAAACTGATTGTCACTAGTCCACAGTTAAAGTGAAATTATTCTCCTTTTTTCAAGTTGAGCTGAATTAGTAATTATATATATTTCAAAGGTTTGACTATTATAACAATAAAACAATAATTGATAGTGAAAAATATTGAGGATGAAATACAAAAAGCTATATTTACTATAAAAAGACTGTCCCACTCTTTTTAAAAAATACACGTTTCTGATAAATTTCACACGAAATGGTTTGAAATGTTGTTAGGTCAAA